ATGACTGGAAGGATTGATGGATTTTACTTTATGGTCTATCCATAATAGTCCATATGGTGCACGCTATCAGCCAATTCCTCACAATCAACATTGTTGCAAAATCCACTGCATGGGAACGATTCTCCTGCTCCAGCCGAGCATTTCCATCATTCAAGTTTCTTGATCCGAGCTGATTTGACTGAGCTACGCTGGAACAGCAAACATGAAAATAAATGAATCGCAGACCCTGCGAATGTCTCCGTCTTTCAAACTTTTGGACGCTCTCATTCCAAATTTTCAAATGAAGGGTGAAGTTTTTATTAGAAAAAGCTGATCAGCATGCTCGAGAGCACCATTGTGACCAATTTTCAAGTTGGAGGTAGACAACTTCGGGGCGGTGGGCCGTTCACTCTTTATTGCCCGTCATCCACCATTTGGACACCCCCGCATTTTAAATCTTCACAATGAAGTCTGCGACTTTTAAATGAATGAAGTTGATCATCATGACCCAACGAACCTTCTGACAAAGTTTCATGTTCGAGATGGGGAATCCCAAGGTAATACATACTATTTCCATAGATCATGAACCCGGCGCTGCCATGCTTTCCGATCTCCATAGTAAATCCCACATTGTACCCTCCCATTCAATATTTTTAAATGAATATGAGGTCTTTTTTAAAACAACATTGATCAGCATATCCCAGAGTACCTTGTGTGAAAGTTTCAGGTTCGAGAGGGGTAATCTCGATATCAAGGTTTGATGTACGGTGTTCATGCATTTATACAAGAGGTGTCCGACCGATTTACTTTCCACTTCTTCCACTCTCAGCTCTTCCCTCTTCCTTCCATTCTCAACTATTGCCCCATTCAAGTATACAATTACCACCTGCAAACGATTGTCCTGCTTCAACCCATCATGTCAATCCTACAACTCGCTTGATCCCATTGTCTTTGACTGAATGGCAAGTCCATGGCGTGTGCAGCACTACAACACCCGCGTTTCTTGACACTTCACCTTCTCTTGTACAATCGTCGACGACAATCAAACGTAACAGCATTCATTCCAGCAGTTGCTATTGGCGATGTCTTTACACCATTGTCTCATACAGCGTTCACAACCTTGTCACTCTACTACGACACACGCTCTTGCACGCTCCTCGGCCACTACCAAACGTAACAGCTTACTCTATTGTCTCAAGCAGTGCTATTCACTTGCAGCATCCTGCCTTGCATCCTTTGTTATCTGGACAGCAGATAGCTATTGTATAGAAGCAGTTTTGTTTACGTGCCATCAACTTGCTTTCGATACATACGAATTCCTATGGATGATGCCATATCAGCTATCAAGTACGCCACAATGCAAAGCCATCATCACCTTAGTTGAGCTGCGATAGGAGATCAACAAGAAAGGGATAGACCAACACCCTGATGGAAAAGGAAGCGTATCAGGAGCATTATTGGACTTGCAATGGATATGGATGGATGGATGCAACCAAGTGCAGTGATTGGGAAAGATGGATTGTTCCTTTGGTTACTTGGCGCGTCATCAGCAGGAACGATGGATCGTATCGCGCGGATATCGCTGAGGATGATGATGATGTATTGGATGGGATTGACGAAATGGATCCTATCTTGGAGAAAGATGTTTTACAGCTATGGACGCTATTCGAATACCCAAGACAAACCACACAGCAGCTATTTTACAATGATGGATGAAGAATGTTTATGGCGGCAGCAACCAAGAAACAACGACCTAATTATCCCTTTTCCCCTCTATGCGATTCACCTCCCATATACTGTTCAATTTGCAATGTTGTTCCTTTATCACACGTACTCGATAAACATCCACACTACCCTGTAATCTACTTGGGCTTTCATTGAATAATGGAATTGGGTCGAACGTAATATTCATAAGGATATCGTACTATTAGCTCATATGTGAAAGATGTGGATCACTTGGTTGGTTTCTGGATTGAGAGGGAGAATAGCTACTTGAAGATTGGAAAGCGAGATTGGATCATTTCCATCATCGTATCGAGCTGCTTTTGCTCTTTTGTCACAGCTTCCTAGTTCACATACTGATAGACAAAAGGCAGTGGCAATTCTCAAACGCTTGTATTGCAAAAACAATAAACTCAGAGTGATGATTCCCAACATAGTGTTTGTTACATAACAAGCTTGGTTCATTGTAAGCTTAATTTCATTCTCTTGAAGAACGAATGAGATGCGAGTACAAAACATCCCATGCTTACCTATACTAAGTTTCAACTAACGCTAGACGTGAAAGAGAGCATCGAATTTGACGATGTCCAACTCGTCGGGAGCGACTCACCCTATTCCCCGTATCATTATCGCCACACTCAGCACTGCACACACCTTAGGCAATATCAGGATTCACTGTAACGTGAGATTGAACATCGTATACATCTCCTTGTTTCTAGTATTGTGTAAGTCGTCATAAGTAAAAGCGGTGAAGAGTATAAAGGGGATCCACCTCGTGCATTAAAAGAGGTAGGCTTGGGTATTCATGCAACTCAGTCGGCCAATCGCATCTACCCCAACTACTGCTAATGGCTCGAGGAGGTGCGCGTGATGATGATAATGCACGTGATATGCATTTTCAAAAGCGGAGGGGGAGAATCTGTGCCCAATCACATGTTATTGCCACAAGTTACTTTCTCATCACAAAAAAAGTGGATGCTTGTAATTTGTATTTACTAGGATTAACAAGACTACATACAAGGAACAAATGGTGGGGGAAGTTGTTTAGAGCTTGGCTTGGGGCTTGAGGCTCTTGAAGACATTGTCGAGCTTCATGGCCAGCATGATTTGACCCTTGACCTTGAGCTTGCCGCTCATGTAAGCCTTTTGACCTATTATGATGCACACCTCCCAAATTAATCTATTGTCCTCCTTGTCATCACCATTCTTGCCATGACAACTTACCGTTAAGCTTGCCTTCAGCAAGAGCAATGAAATCCTCATCCTTAAGGCTCAAGGTGGCATCAGCCTTGGTACCCTTACCACGGGTGACCTTGCCTTCCTTCTTTGCGTCAATGATGAAGGTCTCAACCTTGCCTTCCTTGTTCTTGATATCAAATTGGAAGATACCGTTGACCTAGGACACCAATGTAAGTCATCTTTGACAAAGGACGTATCGTACTTTCTCTTATGTACACACCTGCTTGATGAACTTGGCACGCTCCTCAGGAGTGTATTCATCAAAGATCTTGGCAAGAGCAGCAATGAGTTCAGAGCTGGCGAAACCGGGAACAACGATATCAGACATGGTAAATAAGAAGAAGGAAAAGAGGATAAGTGAAAAACGGAGATGCGTCGTTGTGCATGGTCTTTTATGTTGTTTTGGTATTCACATGTCATTTCCCCCACACGTTTTTGCTGACGGTGTAAAATGCAACAATTTTGGTAATTCCCATTTTCCCACCAACATGTCATGGGCACTTTTGAAAATCATCATCATCATCAACATGCTTTACAAAGTAGAATAAAAACAAATACAGTATGTGTGGGGTGGAGCGTGTGCGTGGGGGTGAGGGGGAAAGGAGGAGTCTAAAACAAATACAATACAACTTTTTTTTACCATTCAGTGATATCTTCAGCTTCACCAAAAAGACTGGCCTTGGTAGCTTTCAAAGTCTCTTGAGCTTCTTCTTCGCTGATCAAATTGGTGTCATAAATCTCTGGAGCAATGCGCTTGATGAATGCCAATAAATGTCGATTGAGCTGATCAAACTCGAGCAAGAAACCATCGTGGCCGTCGGGCGATTGGATGACCACCATTTCAGCATTCGGCATAGTATCGGCAAGCTCGTATTGTTCCGAAATCGTGAATAGACCATCCGATTCGATACCAATGACAACAGCCGGTTGCTGAATGCTTTGCAATACTTCAAAAAAGTCGCCACGATCTCTGGAGATGTCATGCGAATCCATCTTGCGAGTCAACGCAATGTAGCAGTTGGCATCAAAACGGCTAATGAATTTCTGGCCCTGGTAACGCAGGTACGACTGTGCTGAAAAGACACGTGGTGTAGGCATGGGTGGGTCATTGATTGTAACATGCTCGGTCTTTGGTTGAGTGTTGTTGCCATTCGCTTCCTCAGCCTTCGTTGTTGTACCATTCGATCCCTTGGCATTCTTATGTCCATCATTATGAATAAGCATGTTGGCTTCACGAGGAGAGGAAGGACGTCGAGGTGGATCAATGCGGTTGGAATCGGCTGCTTTACGACCGAATCGTGATTCGAATGAATTCCGAGATCGATAAGTCAATAGAGCCGACATACGTGCTGCTGATAAGCCAACATTGGGAGGTTTGTCATCAGGATAATAGCCATCCGCTAATCAATCCATTGGGTAAGTAAATGATCTCTCATGCATATCCACTTTGGCTACTTACCATAATCAGGGTCACTGTAAATGGATTGACGCTGTGCCTCACCCCAGCTGATACCCCAAGCGGAATGACGACCCGAAGTGGCAATAGGAACAATGGCCTTCACATAATCCTTGCCCATGAATGCCCATTCAAGCACTTGCATACCACCCATCGATCCTCCAATACAAAAGGCAATCTCTTTCACACCCAATTGATCCAGCACCATGCGATGCAACTTGACATCATCTCGCACACTCACAAGTGGAAACTCGGGGCCATATCGTTCACCCGTTTCAGGATTAATCGTCAAAGGTGATGCTGATCCATAGGGCGATCCCAATACGTTGCAACATACAATAAAGAACTTGGTTGGATCAAAGGCTCGTCGAGGACCCATAAGTGCACCCCACCTATAATAACAATAAAAAGAGAGGTTAACGTTAATGACCACCATTGCCACTCTCCCATTCCATTCCACATCCATATTCCACATTACCAGTCTTCAACGTCTGTGCTACCAGTGAGAGCATGGCAAATGACCATACAATTGTCGCCTTGATCATTGAGTTTTCCAAAAGACTTCCAAGCGACGGGTACGTTTGTTATCTTGACACCTGATTCGAGGACGAACTCTGGGATGATTGTGATGTTTTGATTTGGAATAAGGTTTACAAGCTTATTCTGTGCGAGGGCAGGAGGTAATCCATCCTTGGTGGCATAGGTCTTGTACATCATTAAGCAAGTGGTATGTGCGGGGAAAGAGAATGGAGTTGAGATTTGACACCGCCGCATGAGTGGAGGAGACGGCAACCAGGAGATTGTCATCAACCAATCGATGAGAGCGGATATCGCATAATATCCGTTGATGTGAGTCACCAGTTTTCTGACATTTTGTTCAGCCCAGCCCAGCTACTCAACACACAGTCAACAAAGGACCCTGCTGCTGCCCATAAAACCTCGCGTCTCTCTTATCACACTTCTTTTTCCATATCTCTCTTTTCCACCCCACCCTTTCTTCCATTATGGTCAACGATATTACTACCACTACCACCACCGATCTTACCCCTGCTACGGCTGCTGCTGCTGCTGCTACTACCAATGGCACTGCTCCTCGTCGTAGCTCCTTTAGTCAACCTAAGCCCAAGGTCCTTCGTCCTTTCAATACAGCCGAAGTCAAGATTCTTCTTTTGGAAAACGTCAATGAAACGGCTGTCAAGGCATTCAAAAAGCAAGGTTATCAGGTAAAAGGAAAAAACAACAAACATTTAGAGTTTCCCCCCCTTTGTGAAACATGAATAGCCCTTGTTCCTTATCTCGTTTGTGTCATTATCTCTAATCTTTGCTTGTCCTTATATAGGTCGAGACCTATGCTAAGGCCCTTGTCGGTGATGAACTGATTGAAAAGATCCGTGATGTCCATGTCATTGGTATCCGTTCCAAGACTAAGCTTACCAAGCAAGTACTTGATGCTGCTCAAAACTTGATGGCCATTGGCTGTTTTTGTATCGGCACGAACCAAGTCGATTTGCAAGCTGCTGCAAAGAAGGGTGTAAGTATAAGACTGCTTTTTTATTATTATTGATGATGATGATCGGATAAGAGAACAATTCTGACGCATCGCGATTTTCGATTTAGATTGCTGTGTTCAACTCCCCTTTCAGCAACTCGCGCTCTGTGGCCGAACTTGTGATTGGTGAGATTATTACGTTGGCTCGTCAATTGGGTGATCGTAATATCGAGATGCATCAAGGTGTGTGGAACAAGGTCTCCAAGAATTGCTATGAGATCCGTGGCAAGGTCCTTGGTATTGTCGGCTATGGCCATATTGGTGCTCAATTGTCCGTCCTTGCTGAATCGATGGGTTTGACCGTTTACTTTTATGACGTTCTTCAAATCATGCCTTTGGGTACTGCCAAGCAAGTTGAGTCACTCGAGGAGCTCTTGTCATTGTCTGATTTTGTGTCATTGCACGTGCCCGAACTTGAAGAAACCAAAAACATGATTGGTGAACGTGAGATCATGGGCTACATGAAGAAGGGTAGCTATTTGCTCAACAATGCTCGTGGTACCGTGGTCTATTTGCCTGCTCTTGCCAAAGCTCTTCAATCAGGCCATCTTGCTGGTGCAGCTGTTGACGTGTATCCCAAGGAACCTGCTGCCAATGGTCCTCATTTCACTGATTACCCCGAATTGCTAAAGTGCCCCAACCTTATCCTTACTCCTCACATTGGTGGCTCCACCGAAGAAGCTCAACGTATGATTGGTATCGAAGTGTCGTCTGCTCTTATCAAGTTCATCAATGAAGGTGGCTCTCTTGGCGCTGTCAACTTTCCCGAAGTTGACTTGCGTGCTATTCGTGAAGATGATGACAACACTGTGCGTGTGCTTTACATCCATCAAAACATCCCTGGTGTCCTTAGAGAGATCAACGAGATCTTTGCCGATAACAACGTCGAAAAGCAATATTCCGATTCCAAGGGCGATATCGCCTATGTCATGGCTGATATCGCAGACGTCAATGAGGAAAATCTTCACAAGCTTTACAATGCCATCACTGCCACTCGTGCCAACATCCGCACTCGCATGCTTTATTAAGCACCTCCTTCTTCCACAACATCTTTAAATTGTAGATTCCCCATACTCTTCATCTTCTCTTGTTCATATTCAACATTTGCATTACATACCTAAAAATTATCATTACTAGTTTTATAAAACTTTCAACAAGATCATTCATTCTACTACTGCTTTAAATACATCTTGCTGTTGATTGAAGAGAAAAGGAAATGGGTTGGGGGATGGTCTTCAGGAACCTGGTAAGCTCAGCCACTAAGCGCATGATTTTAGACATTCAATTCAAAAAAAGTCCGTGGGTTTCACTTGCATAGGCACCACAACCACTTGATCGATCTACCACCATGGACGACGATGACGGCATGATGCTCAACTTTAGTGCGTCTTCCAAGACGGCACCCAAAAAGACCAAGAGCAAGACCCCATCGCAACCGAGATCCACCACCTCCACCACCACCCATGAGTCGTCTACAGCAACCGATGCCCCTCGAGGAAGAATCATGCACGGCAAAGCCCAAGTGATCTCGTCTATTTTCTCGTCGAATCCCAATGTGAGGCTTCCAAAGTCGGCACGTGTTATCAAGACAAGTGAGAAAAGCACGGTGCCTAGCAACGCCCCTGTTGCTGATAGCACGACATTTATTGGTCTTGGTATCGAGTCTGATTTGGTCAACTTGCTCAAGGAGCGTATCCATGTGACAACACCCACCAACGTCCAACGCAAAGCAATTCCATTATTATTGGGACCAACACGCAATGTGCGAGATGCTGAGATCCTTGAACATGATGTGGATGCCGTCATCCAAGCAGAGACAGGTTCTGGAAAGACACTCACCTACTTGTTGCCAATCATCAATCGACTTCTTGAGACATCCGTACGACCTGATGATGATAATGATCAGCAACCTCAACGGGATCGTAACATTGGTACTTTGGCATTGATTTTGACACCTACACATGAATTGGCGCTTCAAGTAGCGAATGTGGCAGAAAAGCTGGTGAATTTCCCAAAATCATATGGTCGACCCCATTGGATCATTCCTGGTCAAATCACAGGTGGTATCAACAAGGCTAAGGAAAAGGCACGTTTGAAAAAAGGCATTACAATCTTGGTGGCAACGCCGGGTCGTTTATTGGATCATTTATTGCATACCAGTAATTTCAGCATTGCCAATCTCAAATGGTTGGTGTTGGATGAAGCAGATCGATTGTTGGATCTTGGTTTTGAAGACACGCTCAAGCAAATCATGGATATTCTAAAGACAAAGACACGTGCTAGCAATGCATCGAGTGATTTTTGGCCCCATAGCAGACAAACGGTGTTATGTTCAGCAACATTACGAGAGGATGTCAAGCAATTTGCTGGTGAAACGTTGATGCGGCCTGTTTTTGTGAGTGGCAACGACAAAGTGGAATCAAAGGGTGGTGATGATGATCAACAAGAGGAGGAGGAAGAAACAAAGTATGCAGCACCTAGTCAGCTCAAACAACAATATGCCATGGTGAGTGCCAAGTTACGTCTCGTTTCCTTGGTGACGCTTTTACGATCCTCCTTTTTCAACAAACGTTCTGGTACCAAACCAGCACGTAAGATTATTGTTTTTGTTTCATCCATTGGGTCCGTCAACTTTCATTTCAATCTATTGGCACATGGTGATCGCACCTTGGAGGACGAAGATGATGAGGATGAGATCATGGATGATGAAGATGATGATGGCAAGAAAAAGAAAAAGGAAAAACCTATCAAGATTTGTGAACGCAGCAGTTTGGTTGGCGATATACCCCTTTACCGACTTCACGGTGACATGAAGCAAAACGAGCGCAAGGAGACGTATCAATCGTTTTGCAAGGCAACCAATGGTATCATGTTCTGTACGGATGTCGCTGCTCGTGGTTTGGATATGCCTCATGTGGATCACATCATTCAATACGACGCACCTGTGGATTTGAGAGATTACGTACATCGAGCGGGTCGTACAGCACGTCTTGGTCAAGCGGGTAGCGCCACCATCTTTTTGTTACCGAGCGAATTGGAGTATGCGGATATGCTCAAGGCACAAGGCATGACGGTGGCTCCTTTGGATATCCAATCCGTATTGAAGTTCTTGGGCAATGAGTCAAAGAAAGGTGATTATCAAGATGTGGCTCAAAATTTGCAAAACAAGATGGAAGAATACGTCTTGCGAAGTGAAGAGGTAATTGGCATATGCACCTAAATGATGATTTCATTGTACTAACAAATGTATAAATAGAACATCATGATGGCTCGCAATGCTTATTGGTCATTTATCAAAGCTTACTCGACACATCCCAAGGCTGAAAAACATGTTTTCCATGTCAACAAGCTTCATCTCGGTCATATTGCCAAATCATTTGCTCTGCGTGAAGCACCACCCAAGACAAAGGAAGTGAAGAAAAAGCATACTGGCAGTACACCAGCAGGAAGAAAGAGCGCTGATGATGGCAAACCTTTGACTGAAAAGAAAACCATGCTTAAGCGTGCTCGACTCTTGGATCAAGGCGGCAGCAACGAATTTGCAGTTGTTAGTGCATCATCATTATCAACAGGTCCAACAGCTCGTCAAAAGAAACGTAAAACCAAGAAATAGAAGACCCATCCTTGCATTTAAATAGAACATCTTTGGCATTTTCTTCCTTTTATCAATACAAAGCATTATCCAACATATAAAGTATGGGGTATATGATGATGGGATAGTGGTCGCTAGGAGACAGTGGCATGGCAACATCCGGTGGTAGTAGTAGCTTGCTTTGATGGCAGTGAAAATGTCGTCACTTAGCTGGGGTTCGGTTACTACACTTTACAGCTTCACACACAACCACCATGGCTTCTCGATTCACTCCCTTGTTTCGTCATGTCACTCGACGCACGCCTACTACTCCATTCACCATGACAGCGGCACGTCGTGCTACTCTTCATGTCAACAACAAAGCACGCCCCATGGTGTTCACTCCCATGATGACTTCTCGCTGCATGTCAACCAAGACGCGTACCATCAAGATTCCTCCACTTCCACTTGCGTTTATTGGTGTTGCACTTGCATGTCTCGGCGTAGGATTATACGAGTATCTGACATCCGATATTCAAAAGTATCCACCTCCTGTGCGACAAGCTTTGCGTAAAGCCCTTTATTATCAGAACAAAAAGGAGTACAATCTTGCATTGAAATATTTCCGTGAAGCATTGGACCAAGCCCTTGTGTCGCCTGAATTGGAGCGTGACAGTGCGCATTTGACAGGCATCATGATCCAACTTGGCAGCTTATTGGAATCCTTGGGTCGATTGCCTGAAGCCCGACAAACATTTGTGCTTGCTTTACGCCATCTCGTCAACTTGGATGAAACAACACCCGATGATGCCGTGTTTGAAGTTCAGTTGAAGGAATTGCCACCGCAGCAACAGAAAAAGATCGTCGCCGTAGCTCAAAAGTTGGGTGATATCCTTGCTCGTATGCGCAACAGAGATGAAGAAGCCGAACGTTACTATGCATGGTCCATTGAACACTTGTTACGCCTATCCTCTCGGCCCCGTACCGCTTATGAAGATCCAGAGGATGTCGTCTTTGATAAGGAACACATGCCTGCATGGCTCACTCATACCGAGATTGGTGCTGCTCTTGAAGCCTTTGGAGGATACTATGCTGAAAGGAACAGACCTGGGTAAGAAAGGGTTGTTGAGTTTGCTATGGTGGATGATGATGCTCATGGTTTGTATAGTTACGCCATTCCTCTTTATTTGCAAGCACTTGATCTCGCAGGTTTAAAGACATGCCATGCTACGGTGCTCATGAACAATATCAGTGATGGATACGCTGCTTTGGGTAAACTTGAGGATGCAAAGCAATGGGCACAACGCGGTCTTGATTTGGCACAAAATCCCAACACTCGCAAAGCAAACAAGGATGGTGAAGTTTGTGATGAAACATGTGGTGTATTGTTATTCAACATGGGCATGTTACTCGAGGTAAATAGGATGTTGAGGAGGGTTTTATTGATATAGCATAGGCAAACTAACACAACTGGTTTCAGCAATCCAATGAAAAGGAAAAGGCAGCCCAATTCTATCAAAAGGCCGTGGAACAAGGTCGTGAGCTAAAGTTGGTTGAACTAGTACAACAAGCCAACCGTGGATTGAGACGTGTAGGAGCTTAAATAGACCATCCATGCAACTTGTTATACTTTAAGCTATATTAGAAAACTTTTGACTGCTAATACATGCATGTGTGTGAAGAAAAGAAGAGAGTAACATTATATGCAGGAATCAAACTCTGTGGTAAAAGTAAGGGAGAGAGCAAAAGCAAAAAGAAGAAAATGGGGTGGGGGTATGGATTTTAAAAGTACAAGAGAGTGGGTGATCGCATGGTAAATTTGAGATAGGCATTGAGACCAACGGCAAAGAGCAAGGCAAGGCAAATCAATGTTGGGCCTGTCGTATCATCATAAGGACCAGGTGCCTTGGCACGAATAAGCTCACGACGACGATAATACACACCCATACCATAGATCAATGTCGTCAAGGAAACAAGGGTGTATACAATACCACTCACTTTGCCGACAGCATCACCTGCATTGAATAAAGCAATCGAAAACGTAGCCATCAAACTGCCAAGTGACATCCATGCAAAGTAAGTACGTTCATTGGCGAAAAAGACCTTGGGTTCAACACGTAAAGGCGAGACCACCTTTTTGGGCACCTTGACACCAGGAGGCAAGACCACAGGTGGATATCGTTTCTTTTTGGAATCACGTTGAAACAAGTCTTGCCATAAACGAGCCACCTTGTTGGTCCAATCCTCATATTCCTCTTCCTCCTCCTGTTGCTCACGTCGAGCACTAGCTGAAGTATCCATGGTTCCCATATAAGATCCACCACGATGCCCTCCCAACAAAGATGTACGTTCATTAGGTGGTGGTGGTGGTAATCCTGCTGCTGCCGCTGCTGCTGCCGACGAGGATGATGGTGGCGATTCATTGCGAATGGATGCTTTACCCTTGCCTTTTTTGTCTTGTTCATATTCTTGTGCAGATTGCTTTTCCATCTCATGTTGTAACAATTCCTCATCCTCAATTTGAGCCAACCAGTAAGGTAGTAAGGCCACGCGCGTATCAAACAACATGGCGACACCATGTACGAACTTGTTGAAATTCTCAGCCTCCTCCAACATGCCACTTTCTTCCAAATCAATAATCCATTCGGGCTCTGGAGTGCCTGGTGGCAAGTCAAGCTTGATTTCAAATGTTGCATAAGGATATCGATTGATCTCATTCTCTTGCAATCCACGGAATGGAAATTCAGTATCAACATCAGGTCGACGCCAACAGCCACTGGGTCGTCGTACAGTAGCATCATCTTGGAATAGCTGTGAATCCTCACGAATAAAGCACAAGTCGGTATCAAGTGCCATGCGTACACGATTATCGCCTGGGATCTGGAACGCTGTACGTCGATAATAGGTTCGGAGCACTATATAAAATGAGATGATTAGCTAATGATGACGAGGATCGAACTTGTATATATATTACCTGGTTGCAAATGTTGATCCATAATGTGTTCCTGAATATCCTTTGCAAGCTCTTCAAATTGCTCCACATCTTGTTCGGACTTGCCCAAATTGTTCTTCATCTTGGTGATCGACTTTTCAATGAACGTCTTGTCGCCCTTGAGGAATCCATCAATGTACTTTTCCTTCATCGTCAATTGCTCCTTTTGCTCGCCATAGGCTTCATTCCATGTACGACGCTCAAGGTTGATGTACGTGTTCTTGTCATTGGCACTGCCATACCATCTCAAACGCACAATCTGTGATCCTTCGGCTGTCTCAACACGTGCATTGTATAGGTCAAGACCACTCGTATCAAGGTACAAGGATGAAATGGGTGGATCGATATCTTCTTGACTACCACGTTGATCACGATACACCAACACAGGCAAATGACGAAGCACAGCTGTCTTGAGCTCCATGATGTTATCCGTATGCACGAAGAAACGTTTGATGATGGTACGTCTCTTTTTGCTGCTGGTGGTGGTGTTGGTGCTATTGTCGACATTCAAATCTTCCTCGAGATTGGGTTTGGAAGGACGTCGAACGTACGAAGTTTCCTTTCCACCGCCATGACGTGCCTGAGCAAAGAGTTCGGATAACTTGATAAGGAGTGGATCATCATCCTGTTTCCAGAAAGGACATTGGTTCAATCGGACCATGAACATGGGACGCAAGATGTAGTTGGTGTGGCGGTCATGCTTCTTGATGATCTTGAGGAACCCGGTATAATTGAGACGTGAATAATGCGCCAAACGATTCACATCATCTGCAATCTGATTGATGTTCTCTTGAATACGACCCATTTCACTTGCAGGTGGTTGTGATCCAAGTACTTCAGCCCATGAATCGATACGACTCTCAATCTCCTCCAATTTTTGTTGATGGAACGCATAAATCTGAAACAAGCCATACATAGATCAATGATGAGCACGGGATATTCTTCTTGGTCACAAACGCCACAACGCGTGTGTGTGTGTGTGTACAACAACAACTCACCTTTTCCAAGTTGCTATCCAAGTCTTCCACAAACTCGGTCTCATCCTTCTCCGTAAAGGGTCGGTCCTTTTCAGCTTTGCGAAGACGTTTCTTGAGCCCATCGTAGTCAATGTAGTATTCCCGCCATTCGGGGCAAATGGCATCCTTAAGCTTCGATCCGAATTTCATTGTCGAGAGCCGAGAAATGAAAGAGGTGTGGGTGTGGGTGTAGAGAGAGCGGGGGAGGTGAAGAGGGAAAAAAAGAGAGAAAGAGAAACGCACGTTTACTTGTTTCGAAGAAATCCATCCAATTATCCTCGATAAGAAACAAGAGAACACATCACTGAGATTCAATCATGCATGCACAGAGCAACACATTTACCTCACTCTCTTCTTCTTACTACTGCTCTGCTTCCCCCCCTTCCCACCAATCTAAACATTCCAACAACCTTCCTACCTGCTATATTCTTCTTCTTCCATAATCAACCCATACATGCATTAGTGCCATCTCCCCGTTGTGATGTTGACATATCACGTTGACTCCATTGGATGAGAAAAAAAGCCAAGCGTTGTTGTTGTACCAGCCGCATGGTTCTTGCTGCACACAGACCATGATGATGATCAACTCCTCCCCAAAGTGGGATAATAAATTAGACGCCCATTCTCTTCCCTCTCTCTTTTCATTTCATTCTTTTTATAATGCAATGTGAGGTGAAAAGTGCATATTTATTCTCTCATGTACTAATTTAGAATACCACGCGATCGATTGATTGATGTCATTTTTCATGGCAAAACGTGACCTTGTATCGTTACACAGACACAGAGATCGTTGAACAACCCCATCTGTCACACCCACATTCGTTGACATGCGTGTGTATACATGTGTACACATGTCAACGTACATGTCAGACCCACTTGTTGGATTAATAAAGATCATGATAGCTCGGCAAAGAAATGCTCGTTTATACAAGAATCACCATCATTGTGTTTTCAATGACTTGCATGAAACACTAGGAAAATAACATATCGGCAGGCTGAAACAAACAACTCAAAGGCTGTTTATACTTGCCCATTTGGAGTATATACACACACACCTCTATGCTACAAAGAACTTCATATCGTTCATCTGATCCTAAGACTGGGGTTCGTTATTTTCATACAATGATCGACTCGCACACACACACGTCAACCATCTCAGTCAGTGTCCTTCCCGCACGCGATCAAAATGTCATCTTCTTGGTCCATTGACATAATCATCACCAGATGTATAGCTACATGGGGGTCTATTTTGTATGCATCCATCATCTATCAGCAGTATGCCCAGAAAGTCACAGCGTCGGCTATACCCAAACAACCCCTGTGCATCCTTCTCAAAGAGTACGATGTTGTCAACAAGGACCCCAACCTCATTGAACGGGCACCTTTGTCATCACGTTAACTTTTGAAAAAACACCATCATCTCAAAACTTAAAATTGCACACGTATCCAAGGATACCAGCTGGGTTTTGGTTGCTACGTTAAACCTCAATGTGGGGTTGGATCATTGATGCTTGTACGCAGTACGCGAATACACAAATAAATACACATGCATACAGCCTTGAAGGTATAAATCATAGCAAGTCTCGTCCTTTGTGCTGGTAATATGCTTGTGGGTAAAACAATGACTGGGAAGAGAAGATATTTTGATAGAGACGGATGTCGTTATTTGGTTATAGGTATTATCAGCTTCCCTAATTCAGCCAAGTCATTGCTGTTTTATTATGCATACGTCGACAATCAAAGCCAAGGCCCTTTGTTAGGGAACAAGGCATTACCAAAGAAAGCATCAACCAATCTATCAAATCATTTACATACCCTCCCCAACAAGGCGTTCTTCACTTATTCCTTGTCATAAGCGGAGAAACTCACATCAACTAAAGAATAGATGTTGTCATCCATCATGGTTCATCACTGCTCCTTACATACATCAGCTAGCACCATATCCTAAAATGATTACCTTTCAAACGGCAAGGGGTGTCGAACCGAATTGCCATGTGCTCAATGTGCCATACTCTTAGCACCCTTTTGATCGATGTAAAAACGCTTCATCATACACATGGGAGGAGGAGGGGGGAGCGATTTGTGTGCAAGAGCGTGGGGCCGCTTTTTTTCTTCGCTCGATGTTTACCTTACTACGTCTATCAATCCATCCGTTGTAGATTATTTGCCAACAACCCTACAACAATGTTCCCTCGCTTTTCATCTTTCGGCGTACTTGCAGCATCACAATGCATCGTAAAATCTAGTGGTATCCGCTGCAGTTGCAAAAGAGTGGGCATCATTCTTTCCCACTGACGTACATGAATCCAGCATACTTGTGATGAAACGCACTATGTAAAAGAGTGGTGCGTCCACACTTTTTTGTTATTATGGTCCGTTTTTTGATACGTGGGTTCGATTAACGTATACTCAGATTCCTCATGAAGCATCAATCCTTGGCTTAAAAGCGAAGACAGCTGCATGTGGTTTTGCCATTTTGCCTGTACATGATGCAGAAGGCGTTCCTACATACGCATCTACATGTCGAGCCAACGCCCATTGCCCTTTAGAGACGTTTTGTTTTGGCATAGGGTAGCAACCATATGTATGTGCTACTGCATCAAGCTGATCTTTTGTTTTTGGCTTTCTTATCAGAAATTTCTTCTCAAAAGAAAAGATTACCGGGAAGCAGAAAGTATATATATATGTGCAACATCGGGTTTCGTCCCTGCTTAACAACAGCATCCCACTATTATGCTTGCAATCAAATTCTCTGTCCTAGCTCTTGTCATTGCCGCCATTCTCGACGTGGTGACAGCCAATGATGGATCTAATCCAAGTGGACTTTTGGAGCTACCTCAAGGAAAGACCTGTACGGATATTCCCAATGCTGAGTGCGACAAATACGCAGAGTGTGAATATGATGAAGGTAAGTTGTGAGATTACTCTTCAAATATTTCCACTTCCACAGTATGTATCTGATTCCATTTTATATACAGTATATAATGACTGTGATTGGTTCGATGACGAGAAGTACGTTCAATTACACGGCTAACAAAGCATAAATCGGATATGCCATTCCACTGCCTATTCTCCAAATAATGGAATGATATTGTTTTTGGAGTCTTTGAATATCAACATGTAATATGGGTATCTTGACTCACAATCCACCTGAAAATAAAGTATCTTTGTTGTTGTCATGATTGCCCAAATGCTGGTGTACCTGATCTTACAATCACCATTATTGGCGATGCACCTTGACACATACACACACGCACACATATACACGCTATCCTCGTCAACGGCGCACGTTGACGTGGCATAAAGCAATATCCATAGCAAACATTTGCTAAAGGTAAACATGCAAACAAACATGCAGATCCGACGATCCTTTGTGTCGCCATGGCAACGGTATCGATGATGTCAAATTTCCTAGGTGAGAAAAGAGTGACAGGGTGCCTGCCATACAAGGTCCCCTTGAATCATGTTCAATAACGGTGAATGATAAACTCAAATGTGCCGTGTGTGTATGCTTTTGTCTTTAATTGCCGTTGATGTTTCTTGATGATGAAAAATTCCTCACCCCTTCGTAAGCGTTTAGCCCTGGTAAGCTAAAAGCGGATGTTTATTACTATAAACTTTGGGATGAGCAGATACGATCACACTAAACCCAATGCACACGGTGAATATCTTCCTCATGCCAATGTTGTAATACTTCAGTCATCGCGAGCAAGAAAATTCCAGAACCCCTTCTAAAAAGTTGTTTATCCCTGCTGATAGAGGAAGTCTACTACAAACAATTTGGGGTTTTATTCAGTCTCTATCATAACGATAGCAACCAAAATACACCATAGATGGTTGTCTCATATCAATGTTGGTAATACTTTGGTCATCATGATGATAATGTGGGTGTTTTTCCTGAACCCCTTGCTAACTTTGCTTTTGAATATCTTTAAATGGATGGTGGTTGACAACATCCACGAGCATCAACATCGTTAATCAACAACAATGAAAATCACTTCGGTAGCTCTCCTCTCTTTGGGTTTGACGGCAGCCTCTGCCATGGCAGCAGCAATTAAGCCGGAAGAAACAAGGTAAGACTATTTACTTTTCTTTGATCATAAACCCAATCTAATGGTATAATTTTGCAGCGTTGATGCCAAAGTCAATGCTGTTGAAGACAAGGCTCAATCTCCATCGGTCACCAAGGATGATGCCAAGGATGATGCCAATGATGACGCTGATCCTGATCAGTACCATCCACCTTACTATCCACCTTACTACCCACCTTATCATCCACCTTATCATCCACCTTATCATCCACCCTACCACCCACCTTACCATCCTCCTCATCACCCACCTTACCATCACCCACCACAGGAAGGCGATGATAACAATCAATGATTTCTTGATTGAAACTGCCAATTGTTGGTCAATAGCTAGCTACTCTTTATGCAAAGCTAAAAGTAATTACAAATAGTGTATTACTACATAAAGGTCTGTCTAAAATCTAAACTCTTTTTTCCGTGATTCTTTGCGCTTCTCAAGCTGCTTCATCCTTTTTGCTTGTCGATTGATGTGTTCCATGTACATATCAGAAAGATCTTCGGGTTGTGGATAATGCCTCTTTTCCTTCTCTTCTTCTTCCATTTGCCCTTGCTCATATTTGGATTGCAGTGACGAGAGATTTTCCAATTCACTAGGATCCTCCATAGATATATCCACATCATGCTCATGCCGTCCTTTCTTTGGCGCCAAGTTGTAAGTGTACTGTGACCCCATGAAGCCTTGCATTGTGCCACGTGAACTTTGTGACAAGACATGGTATAGATGCTTGGTCTCGTTGGGCTCTTCTTTTTCTTCAATCGGTGGTCTTTTGCGTAGCTCGATGTCACCTGACATATCCATTTCAGTGATGGGGATCTCCTCCTCGTTGATTGCTTCTTCATGCTCTTCCTCAGAAACCGCTTCTATGTCCAATCATCAATAAAGAGACCCCTTTTACCTCGTAACAAATTCCTACCTTCTTCATCCATATCCTTGTATTCCAACTCAGGTTCAAGTTCACCCCAAAGAGACTTATCCACATCTTCTTGTTTGTCGTCCTACCACGTAAGCTGTCAATACAATGATCTTTTGCCATTGTCATTCCTCATTTTTACCTTGTCGATATCTTTTTCTCCAACCTGAGGCGGTGCACCCCAACCACCACGCTGATATCCCAACTCACAGTCATGGGGAATGGGAGCATTCACTCCTGGAACCTTTAAGCCTGCATAGGATGGTGGTGGACCAATATGCTGCATTGCAAAGAGCCATGGCGGTGGATCGTTTGATTGCATATGAAGAGCATCACGCAATGTGTCGGATAATTCTCCTGGTTTGAATGTTTTGCTCCACTCCTTTCCTTCATAGTACCTAGATCCATCGTATTAGAATTTCAACACCATTTGAATGAGGGGATGTATATGCACTTACAATTCACCATGCCTTGTCAGCTCCACGCGGATGGGAAATCGAAAGAAAGCATCATGTAACTTTTGGTAGTCAACATCCATCTTGCCCAATTTGGGATTGAGTCTTGCACGTCGCTTGGCACTTGCTCTTGCTTGGGCCTCCTTTTCACGCATGGCATCTCGCTTATCTGCTATTCCAGTTTGTGCAATGTAATCTACATAAACATCATTGTTAGAGCATGATACGGATATGTAATGATATGGAAACTTACCTGGAAGCTGCCATGGAAGACGCTCTTTGCGTTGTAGATAACCACGTCTCTTCCACCACCAATGGCGTGGTACAGGTACGGTATTGCGATATGATTTGAGGGTCACCAAAAGATCAGGATCGGATGCTGTTGTATCCCATGGCTATCCAAAGGCGTATAAGCATCATTTATGCAGTATTCAAACAGGTAATTCGTTACCTCCACCACCTCAGGAACATCTGTCAATTGCTTCAACTCGCTTACAGTCAATTGAGCAAGTCGCTTCAACTTCTTTTTGGAGATTGTATTGGTGGATTCATTCTTGTCCTTGTTCAAACTTTGGACAAGCGCTTCATTGGTGTTGGTATCATCTTTTGTCTCTGTTGCTGCTGTCAAGGTGGGTATAGAAAAATGCTCAATGACAGGTCCAAGTGCTTGCCACTCGCTTGCTGATGGTAATTCAATAGGCTGATCAAGGACAAGTGATACATTGTCGGCTGCGGCTGCATCGGGCGTTGTTGTTGTTGTTGCATTGGTAGAAGTGGTGGTGGCAGCCTACCATGAGGAGAACGAGTCAACGACTAGTCTACAATTGCCCTTGATCGACAACTACCTCGGCATTCTTTCGTTGTTTCCTTGCCTTCTTTTTGGCACGTCGCTTTTGTTTCAAGAGGGATATTCGATCGGGGGAGATGTCATGTCGCGTGGCCATTCAAGCAAAGCAGGTGAGAGAGAGAGAGAGCGGGAGGGAGAAGAGGGTTGTGTGTGTATGCATTGGTCTAAAATCATGATGAATCCCAGCGCGGCATTGTTTGTGTCCCATTGTACTGGTTTTGTTCAGGTGTGAGCTCATCAATCATGCTTGCAAGTTCTCTTTCTTTCGCCTTCTCTTTCTTTCATTTCCATCATGGTCATGGTCAACACAACGACATCATCACCACCACCACACCATCATATGCCCTCCAATCACAAAGATATCGACAATCCATCATCATGGGACCACGTGATTGACCAACTTGAATCATCAAACAATGACATCGACCATACATTGAACGTGTCGTCAGCCTTACGTGAACAACTTGGAACGTCTCTCATACGCCTGCTCCAGATTCGTGTTGAAAAACTTATCGCTGCTGGCCGTATCTTTGAAGCTCTTGAAGAGACATCCATCATGCGACAATTAAGACCTTCTTCGCCCTTGGGGTATCTTTTCGAAGGTGACATTCTTTCCAACATGCAAGGAAAACAAGCAGCAGCTATGAGCATGATCAATCGTGGAATTCACACTGCATCCAAAATCGACCCCAGCTATCCTAAGCTACTTGACAGCAAGAACCGGATACGTGAAAAACAGCAGCTTCGTATTGATTTCATCAAAAAGTTGCCAGTGGACATTGTGAGGAAACGGATCGCTCCACTCTTATTGACATCGACTATGAAACATGAGATTCTCAACGTGTCATCCATTTGGCAACAACGATTCGCCCCAGTCTTTGGAATGCATGTTGAAGTACGTGACGCACAAGATTGGACGACAGGATATCGACGTATCATTGATGGTGCGTCATGGATTAAGTCTTTGAGCCTGAAGCATTGCCAGCAATCACCCTACACATTATTACAACGCCGAGAATTCAAATCTCTCGAGAGGTTGCGCATCGAAGGTAAAGCTGCTTTCAAGAGGAGAGTGCTATGATTGGTTTATTTACATGCTTTAATGATGCATAGATTGTCCCATATACAAGTTGTCGAATATTTCTAATGTCGGCAAACGATTGACACACCTGTATATTACCGATGGACATGGACCCAAATCGATTCGATTGCAAAGTTTGCTCCTCACTTTCCCCAACTTGGAGATCATCCAATGCTTCGGTGTATGCGACTTGGATACATCAACTCTTGATACTGGACAATGCTATTCCAAAGTACGCACGCTTCTCTTTTGGACAAGCAGCATGAGCAAAAAAGGTGTCAAGTCCATCGTATCTTGTTTCCCATCCCTCGATCGCTTTGCAATCTTCCATCGACGAAATCCTGTGCAGTGTTTGGTTGAGATGTCACCTATTGACAATGACGGCGATCTTGTTTATTTCGGATCAAGCTTTGATATCTGCAACATGAGCTACGAGGAACCTGCATTAGAGCACATGCTATATTTGGATGGGGAAGGAGTGGATATTGAGATGGCTGCTGAAAGCTTATTACAAGCGAATGATCCTCCCATAGCAAGCGTTATTTTCAACAGCTGTGCAAGAGCAGGAATGAGAAACAATGATACTGAAGAAGACATGGCACGTTATTTGACGATGGCTACCACGTATGCTCCAAGACTCAACTCCTTTCTGCTATGCAACCTCAACCTGCATGAGGGACAATGGATGCAATTTCTGCAAGGCCTCAAAGCAAAAGGTATGCAACCCTTCTATTTAGAAGTGATTGAGTGCCCAGGCGTTACGGATCGTGTCCTCGAAGATATCATCCCACGCAAAAGCATTCGATCTATACGATTTGACGGCCTCGTCAACATTACCCAAAAAGGTGTCTCCCGTTTGCTTCGCTCCAGATCCTTCGATGATGTTACCATAGTCAATTGCCCCAACGCCGTTGTACCCCGATCTTACTATCACTACTACCATTAGCGATTTCCTTTCTTATGCATGCATCTTGTAAATTCCTCTCAATCATTATTGCTCTACGCTCTCACACACACATATGCACTCTCTCAGCGTGGTACAATGTCATGATAAAATACGTTATCAAATACAAACATTTGCTAAATATGGTAGTAAACATGCAGATCCGACGATCCTTTGGATCGGCATAGATAATGTCAAATCTCCTAGGTGAGATAAGAGCTACGACTATAAGGCCCACTCGCTTCATGATCGAGAACGATGAATGGTAAACCCTATACGTCGTGGGTATGTGCTCATGTCTTTAATGCCGGCGATGTTTCTTCACGAAAAAAAATTCCACCACCCCTTCTTAAGCTTTTAGGCTGGTAAGACACGGTGCAAGCGGATGTTTATTACTATAAACTTTGGGGTTTGAACCAGTTTCATGAACATGTATCATCACCATAAGCCCCATACATGATGAAAATCTTCCTCATATCAATGTAGTAATACTTCAGTCATTGTGAGCAGAAAATTCCAGAACCCCTTCTTAAAGCTTTTATCCCTGATGAGAGAAGTCCACTACAACCATCCGGTGGGGTTTTTATCCAGTCTCTATCATAACGATAGCAGCCAGAATCCACCTCGAACATCGGTATCACTGCAATGTTGGTAATACTTCTGTCATCATGATGGGTAATGTAGGTGTTATTCCTGAACCCATTGCTAACCTTGCTTCCGAAAAATTATAAATTCCATAGTCGAAAAGGTCATCAACGAGCATTATTAGTATCGTTATTCAGCAATGAAAATCACTTCAGTAGCATTCCTCTCATTGGGCTTGTCAGCAGCCACTGTCATGGCAGCAGCAATTGAGCCGCAAGCAAGGTAAGTTTATTTGCTTCGCATTTTGTATCGATCTAACGGCATGAATCATTAGCGTCAACGCTTCAATTGATGCCGTTGAAGATATGACTCCTTCACAAACAGTGGACGCTGTCAGAGAAGATGTCGATGTTGACCAACACCATCCACCTCATCATCCACCTTACCATCCACCTCATCCTCCTCATCCTCCTCATCCAACTTATCATCCTCCTCATCCAACCTATCATCCACCTCATCCAACCTATCATCCTCCTCACCCAACCTATCATCCACCTCATCCAACAACTTATCATCCTCCTCATCCAACAACTTATCATCCTCCTCATCCAACCTACCACCCACCTGACCATCCACCTCCCCATCATCCGCCACCTGCTGAAAGGGATGTAAAGGACGAAAACGATGCTAAGGATGTAGGCAACGAAGATGCCAAGGAAGATGCTGAGCCTGATCAGCATCACCCACCTTACCATCCTCCTTATCATCCACCTCATCATCCACCTCATCATCCACCTCATCATCCACCTCATCATCCACCCCATCACCCTCCTCATCATCCTCCTCATCACCCACCTCATTATCCACCCCATCATCCACCTCATCATCCACCCCATCACCCACCTCATCACCCACCTCATCATCCACCCCACCATCCTCCTCATCATCCACCTCATCATCCACCTCAAGAAGATGAGCAAGACGACCAATAGTTCCTTGAGTGGGAAAACCATTATCGGTCCTTGTAATTAGCTACTTTTGTTGTAATGCTATATAGCTTCAAGTAATCATTTAAGTTTATCGTATGACTAAACCATATGAGAAATTTGTGTAAAGCTGTGGTATTACCAATGATTGTATAACATTTTTTGAAGACCATTGCATTAGAATCATGGTAAGTTATCATAAAAAGCTATACATTGCTCACTTTATTTATGATCAGTGGATGAGACACGAGACCAAGGCAACCACAACAGCTACCATTATGCTTGAAAATACAATGCGTGGATGACTACCCGTGGGGGCATTCCCTTCTTCTTCTTTACCATCATTCAGCAAATGATCGGGGATTTGAGTTACCGGTGTAATAAACTGCTGCACAGGCTCTGGTGTATAACCTGGATTTGACAGGGCGACCTCGTTTGTGATCGAAAAAAGTGTAGATGCTGTTCTGTAGCCGTAGTTGTCGCCATCAAGAACGGAAATGTAATAGAAATCTCCAGGAGGTGCTTCCTCATCCCAAGGTATCATGACAAACATTTCGTCCTTGACGGGTTCTTGGAAGAGCAAGGTGGTGACAGTGGACATATCCCATACCAATTCGATAGTCACCGTAGTTGTACTTTCAGGTATGCCGGTCATTTCAAGCCGCAACCAATCGCCCGAATGCACCTTGCTATATCCACCACTGCATGGTTCATAGCAAAAAGGGCGTACTTGCCATGTCTCTGGTGTAATAAGAGACGATGGGGTCGTATCGTTGCTGCCAATAATCCTGATAGGGCCCAGGGTTTGGTCTTGATTATAGTGGTTTTTGAGCTGCACTCGAAGGTAGTAATAGTCTCCTGTAGCCACTCCAATGTCGATTTTGGCTTCTCCACGACCTGCAGCACCATCGGTATCGTCCATAGGAACGTCGACGAATGAAGACGTATGATGTAATAATGAGCTTTGCCATACAAGCCAAGCCGAAACCATTTCATTTGGAGGCGCATCCACCCATTGTATAGGGATACTATCACCGGCTCTCACAGTACACGGATCAGAGCAATCCATGCTTGCTGAAAAAGCTCCCCATGCATGTTGTGCTTGGAGCAATAAGGATAAGAATAAGATGATGGTTCGTTGCCTTGAGATGCTCAATTGCATTGTTGCTGCATGCACAAACACAAACGAAAAAGAAGTTTTCATTCGACTTGCAGTACAACTACACAAGGAAATCTCAAAGCTGTGGCTGTGTGGATTTGTGTATCGAACATACTCCTCCTATTGCATAGCCATCGGATTAAAGTGGCACAAAAACATCAGCAGCGGCGGTATTTCTTCTGATACAGGTAAAAAGCTTCTGCTACACTTTAAAGACACGCACACTTCACAGGAGCTACTCAATTTCAGCTGCTGGTGCATATAGGATATGATACTACCAATATCGCTTTGCTCCCAAGAATATTATTGATCAGCCTTTTTGCTAGCTGTTTTATGCATCGTATCCAAAGCAATGATTCATGTAACGTTACACACGTGCGTTGGTAGAAACTACGCCCCCTTGGATCATTCCTTTTCTATGAAAGCCATAATACGCCCCATTCTTACATGATCAAAAACTCCTTCATGAGGAAGCGGTTACACATGGCAAAGATGCAATAGCCAATACAATATCATGTTTGACACCAAATCAAGTAAATGTAGAATACATCAGCCACAAGCTTTATTCGTTTTACTACATGACGACTACGCGACTTCATATCACTATGTATGAAAGTACCCGAATTAACCAGAAGATGCAATTGTAAAAGGGCCAACACTTGCTGAAGGACCTTGCGAACTGCCATCGAAATAAGAAACTTTCAAGTAATAAGAACTTCCAGGAGCAATGCCTTCTTGGATGGTAACATTGACACCAGATGGAGCCAGGTCAATGGATGAGTCCCCTGTTACTTTGATGCCTCCAGATAAACTCAGGCATCCAACCCAGAGATCATTGACCAATTCCTCAAGGCCCCAGCAAAGGTTGAAATGAAAGTTTTTCGTATTGGGCGAGCCTTCAGATGGTTTGGTCCATTTGGCCATTACGGTCTCACCAATGTAGATGGTGTTGTTGTCATGGCATTTGGTAGCATAGCAACCAAGCTGTACTGTAAAATTTTCTTGACGCGGTGGAACATAAACGGGTGCCCTTGAGCCGATTTTTAATGGCCCAACAAAGGCTTTGGTGTCATAATCGTGAGATGTAAGCTTGAGGAAGTAATAATCGCCTGCTGGAGCATTTGGTGGTATTGGTACATTGATGCTGGCAGTGCGATCAGCTGCAACGGGTTGGTCCATAGCAACGATTTGCATGCCATCACGGTAAGTATCCGGTAATCCCCACTCCAAGAACACAGTATAGATTTGAACGTTGTCAGGGACACCAGTGGATCGAAGATTGAGTCGTGTGCCTGGAATAATAGCGTCCTTGGTGGTGTCGTTGCATGGGCTTTCACATCCAACAGCAACATCCCATGCTGCAGATGCTATGTGTGGCAGGAATGCAAAAAATGGAATGATGGCAAAGATCAGTGATGATGGTACCATTGGTGATGAAGAATGGGAAAAAGAGGAGTTGTGGTAGAAAAGCCAAACACAGCATTTGTCGTTAGGTGTGGCGTTGCACACAAAAAAAGACAACATCACGTGCATAGTATGCACGTCATGCTACATGCTTACCGAAATCATGGTTGTTGACAGCTATAGTGCTATGTTTTGAGCCATACTCCTTTTGGATCAGGTTACTTTCAATGCAGCATCTGCATAAATAGGCCACTAGCCACCACAACGTACAAACTTGCATATCCACAACCACGTTATATAGGCACAATGAATACGTGGTATTATGCAAAAGGCTCCTTTATGACACAAGCAATGAAAAGAGAAGCCCAAATGATGGTACTAATACTAGCTGCGTTTCCTAAATCACGCCGTGTGGATCATCGATGCTTTATTATGCTAGAGGTGGGTGGCGTATACTCTTATTTTTAGTCCTACCTACATGGTTTCCTTTACTACATACGTAGACCCTCGGCTTGCCCATAACTGAAATCACAAAAATAGCAAGCATCACAATGATCTAAAAGCAAAGAGAGCATTACCAGCAGCTTCTCATCGAGAGGTACAAGTGCCTTGTCATTCATTGCTCGTTCCCTTCTTAAACAGCTTTTGAATAGGGTGAGGCGTGCTTTTTGACCTTCACTTTAGATGCTAGTAAAGGGCTTTGTTTGGTAGTGGATGCACGTTTGGGCTCATTGATAATGCAAACAATGAAAGCACATGATGCTTCCATTGTTTGGCTTTACGTACATTGGTTGGTCCTTTGCTTTTATCTTTATTGTGTCATATGACAAAGTATGAATTACATACAAAGTTTATTATCCAGTTACACAGATGAAGATTAACGTGAGAATACACACAAAGAACGCATGAAGATAAAAAGAATCATTATGATGATAAGCTATCTACAAGTCTTCTGCGATTGACAAAGAAAGGGAGTTGATGGCTATAGCATTCGAATCTATACATCCGCCGTACCATGTCCACCAGGGCCTCCGGCATTGTTTGGTGGATGGGATGGCATCGTAGGTGACATAGGTGTATGTGGAACCGAGGATGGTTGCTGATGTACTGCCGATGGTGGTGTTGGTGATACAGCATGGTATGGTGTCGTTGAGTTAGCATAGTACGCGCTAGCATTAGGGTATTGTGGTTGCGAAGATGGTGGTTGTTCAGGGTACCCTGCAGCGTATGGAGCACCTTGATTGTAATAAGATGGTTGATACCCTTGATCGTTATAGGTTGTTGGTTGTTGTTGTGGATAATGGGATAAGCTGGGCATGTAAACGGCAGCTGGGTGATACCCATATCCACTATAATGTTGTTGTTGTTCGTCGTAAGCTGCTGCTGCTGCTGCACCACCACCATAATAGTAGTTATTGTGATCCTCATAACCAGTGGAGTAAAATTGACCTTGTGGCATTGAAGAAGCGGGCATAGGTTGCATCATATTGGGTAGCTGTGGTGACCTTGTGCGTGGTAGTGGTGATTGAGACGATGGTGGCGGCTTTTTGTATCCTGGTGGACTAGCAAAAATCTCGGCAGCTGTAGTATCAGCATGCTTTTTGCTATTGCTGTTGCCGGTTTTCCTCAAACAAATGGCACCTCCAAAGACCTACATGGTACCACAAATAGTAATGAGCCTTCTCAGCCCATCTTTACTGCATATTTCCTGTTTTGTGAAATAACACCTTACCAGAGCAGCTGCAGCAACTCCACCAATTGCAATGCCGGCAATACCACCTGCCGATAAGGTTGACCCACTATTATTATCATCATCTTTTGATCCATTTGATGGTGTAGGTGAGGATGTTGATGATGAGGAACTACTTGATGTCGATATTCCGGATGAAGAAGCAACACTGGATGAGGAGGATATAGGTGGTAAAGATGAAGCACTACTACTGGGGCGGACACTAGATGCAGCGGAAGATGAGGATGGCGCTTGTGAACTTGCAGTGGTTGGTTGCACACTGCTATTGCTTGAAGGCACAGCTGAACTTTGACTAGGTGTAATGCTGTTTGGCAAAAAGACACCTAATGGTCCTTGAACAGCCACCGAAGTTGGGACCGTGTTAGCTGAAAGTCGTAAAAAGTAGTTGTCAGCTGCTGCAATGGTACTAGGAAAAGACACGGTTGTGGATCCACTAGTGCCTGGTGATGATATAGTAGCAAGGGTTGCTTTAACCAAAAGAGCATCAGCACTAGGACCTTGAGCTACGGTGATAGCAAGGCTGCTAGCGTTGCCAGTGAGATCAGCCCATGATACTAAAAAAGCTGCTCCTTGTTCGATCCGCGTATTAGATGACGGCGATGTAACTGAAAAAGCGGTAACAGCGGATGCATAAAGGATTGCAAGAGGTATATAGACAAGCCAAGTGGTATTTAGGCGATGGCGTATCCTCATCCAGACGTTGTGAAAAGGGTATTGAGAAAAAGAAAAAGGAAAAAGAGAACCCAAATCCCTTTGTGTGCACCCAAAAATTTTCTTTTTTCATAAGTGGTCTCACCATCAAAAGTGAGGACAATGAGACCAATCCAGGATAAAGCTACACCAGCCAATGTCGCACACGGCGGGTGGACACACAAGTAAGCTTTTTCGTTTTCATATAACCATCTATGCTCGTTTGCTTGCTACTGGTAATCGCAATGGCTATAAGAACGCCATCATGCATACGATAGGGATCCACTCTTTTATATGGTAAACCTTTTTTGTCGAGGAAATTGGGAATGCAAGCTACCATAATGGATATTGCTGAGCACACACTCCACAAATAGTAGGATAACGGCGGAATCGTACGTTACAGAAGATGTGACTACCTTGGATACAAAGGTAAATGCTAGCCTTGGCATGGGAGAGCAGTAGTATTACGACACGCGAATGTATTGGGGTTCCCATAGTCACCTATTAGAAGCGCACATGTACATAAAATAAACCCCTTTCAATGTAAGGGGGATGGGAGATGCATTGATTATGCATGTTTGTTTGCTTTTGAATGACGAGTCTATCTGTGCCACGCTTGCTTCCTGCTTTCCCCCTTTTGCATTAGTCATGTGATACAACCTTGTCAAAGCTTTGGCATGGTACAAACACGTAGATTTTAAATAGACAATGGTATGTCATGATATATATTTACAAGCGTCATCCACAAGGGTGTGTGTGAACAACTATAAGTACAATACAAATACAGTAATAACGGTGATAGATGTTGGAAAGTGTAAGGGGAGGATGAATAATGCGTGTAAAATTATGATGAAAAAATCTATTGAGCAGCATCGGCTTGGAATTTTTCAATGAGCTCGTCAATGGCATCCCAAGAGCCGAAGACACAGCCGACAATACCAAGAAGGAGAGTGAGGGCACAGAATGCAAGTTCGTAGATGGGCTTGTTGCGGACACCAGTGAGACGCAAGTAGCAAAGAATTGGGATAAGGAACACCAAAGAGCAGTTGCAAAGAGCACCAATCAAACTCATGAAGGCGTCAAAGTAAGGAACGAAAATAGCCAAGACGCACAAGATGACAATGGTGACGGTACGAATGGCGGCACGACCAAGGAATGCAAAAACTTTGCCAATGTGTTGCTCATCGCACTTGGAGAAGCGTTCAAATTCAAGCGAGAAAGAACAAGCATAGATGGGAATAGCGAAGATAACGTGAATGGTCATGACAATTTGGGCAATCATCTTGGCAGCACCATCGGGAAGAGAGTTGTAGATAGGCGATTTGACAGCATCACCATAACTCCAGTAACCAGGAACAGCTGTCATGAAGTAGAGAGCGGTACAAGTAGTAAGACCAGCAGTGACAGCCCACTTCCATTGATGGGGCTTCTTGAGAGCATGCTCAGCGTGAGGATAAGTGTTGTTACCGCCATAAGAGAAAGCAATGGTAGAAAGGGCTGAAGGGAAACCAGGCCAGATGACACCATCCAAATGGACTTCATTTTGAGGATTAGAGTTGCGATCAATAGGACCTTGGATCATAACAATAAACACAGCCATCATGGTACAGATGGCACCAATAGAAGAGATGATGGTGACTTCCTTCAAGGTGCGGAACAAAATCAATGGAATCAAAAGGAAAGCACCCCAAATGATGACCCAATAGGATTGAGTAAGTACACTGCTTTGGCCTTCAAGCAAATCAACCATATTGCCTGAAGCCAACACAAGGTACAAGGCAGGACAACCAAACAAATTGAGGAAGTGGAAAAATGCAGCAGCACAATAACCAAACCAGCCTATGGAAGAAGTGTTCGGTTAGCAAGAGCTGAGACTCAATCGTAGAAAAAAATTTTCCTCTAGAGGAAATTGTGTAGAACATACCATAAGCTGCTTTGCCGATTTGCTTGTAATCATGAAGACGTTTGCCAGGCTTAGCGTAGAGACATCGGATCAAAATGATACCGCTATAGCAAGCCATTGCCCAAGCGAGGATCAAAATGAGAATACCAAGCCAGCCACCAGTGGCAAAGGCTTTAGGGAGACCAAGAGTGCCGGTGCCAGCAACGACACAGGTAACGTTGAAATAGGCGGACATGAAACTAGCATTGCCGTGGCCGAATTCATTAGCGGTGGAATCATCTTCGATAAAATCCTCGACGGTTGCTTCACGTATGGATGCGGCCTTTTCATCGAGGGTCTTCTCGGGCACTGATGAATTGGTGTCTTGTTTGGCAAATGGATTAAGCTGCATTGTGGAGGTGGTGGGTTGTTGTATACGTAGATATAAGAAGGGTTATATCTAAAGCACAAAGGCTATTATATGACTGTTGAAGTTTGAAAGAGAAAAAAAGGTGAGATCAACCGTTGTCATCGCACTTGGATGTGCGGTATTTATAAGCGTATGCAAGGTCAGTCAAAGAGCAAGGATTGACAGCGGCAACCTTCCTTAATTAGATCCGCATGCAAAAGCTGAATGGTGCGATTACGCTGATATGATAAAAGGGTCAAACCAAATACCGATAGCAGGCGGCTTTTTTGGTGTGCGCCTGACCCTCCTTTCCATAAGCGTCTACAAGGCTTATTTAGGTCGGCGATTGCTTTGGTATTTTCCCACCACCATCACCATCCGTTGCAGATCGGGTTTGAGAAGAAGCACATGCAGTAATGTTTACTTGTGTTAAAGTCGTGCCGTCATTACCCGGAACCCGATCTGGCACCTATTTTCCCATGGGTTTTCGCACGCTTTTTTACTAGTTGGGATAAATTATTCGTATTCGATGGCGGATTGTAACAATGGGTGCTCTATGTGTAACCCACTTTCATGACAACGTTATAGACTAAAAAGCAAACAGATGCAAGATGTGTATTCGGATTACCCCACAAACATGGGAGCTGCAGCTATTGTGCATGATGCAAATTATATGTCCACATTGATGCATATGAGGCGAAATGGTAGTGGAATTGCTATATGGCATGATTTGAAGCGTTTACTTTTTGCTCGGGATAGTCGGGTGCCTGAGACAAAGTTTCTCTGCCACTTTGCTTAGAAACCACACCGCGTAAGCCTTTGTGCTACAACGTATCTTATCTTCTGGAGAATACCAGCAAATCATATACCTCAACCCCATACCAAGAAAGGCATATCTTTGAGAGCTTGGCATATGTGCTAAAATGAGCCAATGGCGGGCGTGAACGAGTCTGAATCTTTCCACGCACCGACATCGGATGTTTAATGGGCAATTGGGGGAAGATAAACCCAAGTGGATCAAACAGAGACATTGGACAACGGGACGTCATTAAACTTGATCCACGAAACAAATGACGTTGCATGGTGTGTAAATCCCCCCGTTATGGGCATAATATTATTCCCCTTGAAAGGATAGCATACCAGATGCTATTTAGCAAACGCACTAAATCTCACGTACGCGAGGAATGTGGGGTGAAATTGCGATGATTACATGAGCCGTGCTAAAATTGAAGAAGCGGGTTGAGTCGGATCACCCTTTGTGATATATGCCTTTTTGCTTCTAATCCCAATCGGTGCATTTTGTGTTCACTTTTTGCCATGCCAGCTTATTGTGTTGCATCTAACAAGGTGTTGCTGCTGGGCCTAATTCTACTATTTTTCTATTGTGGCACCGGAGAAAGCCAAGAAAACAATCAACAACGTGATAATAATGCTGGCATACGATACACAGTGCAATTCACGTCGTCAACATTACCCAATGGTACCAGTGTAGAGGATCCAGAGGCTATTCAAGATGCCTTTTTACAATATCTTGAACGCAACAACGTTAATGTCACTGTGCGTTATCGATTTACGGACATCATGAATGGCATGTCCATTATGTTGCCACCTGATACAGTTTTACCACAATGGCCACCACCACCCCCATCATCATCATCAAACAGCTCTTTAAGCATGGCAACCATTGAACATCACCATGGCAACGCATCCTCTCTTGTATCCAGCGACTTCCATCCAACAGCCTTTTTGACTCAAACGTTACAAACATGCCCCTACGTAAATCGATATTGGCAAGGAAAACGGTATCGTCGACCCCAAGTGCGTCGTGGAACCCTGTCGCCTGATGACGTTCCTGGATTACCTAATTTACCAGCAGCACATGAATTGACGGGTGTAGACCAAGCAAAACTATCAAATTGGACAGGCTATGGTATCCGTGTTGGTATCCTGGATACGGGTGTCGATTACACACATCCTGCTCTTGGTGGATGCTTTGGTGTAAGTATATCACCATGCTTGTTTCAAATGTGTTTGCACAGCCATTTGTGCGGGTTCCATTGCATTGGCTTCACCGAATCTAAAAAATAACCCGTGTACCTTTTTTTTCTTGTGTAGCCAGGTTGCAAAGTGGCTTATGGTTATGATCTAGTAGGTGACGCTTCAAATGGTAAAGTTTTACCCCCGCAATTTTATGTCCCTTCTTTTTTCGTGGGGTAGAGAAACATAGGGTGTCGCTGAATACCAAGTGGGTGTGGGGTTTCATCGGGTTCTTGAAGTTTTAACAGCAGACGAAACAATAGATGGCTACGGCATCAATCCCGATGATGATCCAATGTAACTAAAATCAGAGTTATGGTTCAAAGTTACCCCAACAAGTATACTTACGTTATCGATTAGGGACACGTGCGATGGCCATGGGACCCATGTAGCAGGTATCATTGCTGCCAACGATACAAAAATGGGATTTGAAGGTGTTGCCCCTGGTGTAGAGCTGGGTGCATGGAGGTAAAGTTAACCTATGATGTTGATGGTGGTCGTACCGAGCGTGAGAAAACCTTGTGTATTATCCTCAACAAAACTCAGCTCATTTTTTTGTGTATCTGCATAGGATTTTTGGATGTCAGGGTGATACCGATGATGATATTATTCTTATGGCAGCGTAAGTTTTGGGTGCGGGGAATTGTTGGGGGGGATGGCGCTAAAGATACTTGGCACACAATAAGGCGGGGTAAAGGCAATTTGCATAATCTCATATGCAACAATGGTAACATGTGTATAGTGAAATGGCTGTCAAAGCAGGGATGGATATCATCAACCTTTCATTGGGTGGCGGTGTGAGTGCGTGGGAAGAGGTACTACCATACTTGTTGGATTCATCTCACACAAGAGGTTAAACATTGGATCGTACTCACTTTGCTGACGATCAAACAGGATGCATTGGCCGTAGCTCTGTCCAACATTGCTGACAAAGGCATCATGGTGGCTGTGGCTCAAGGGAATGAAGGAAGAGATGGTAGGTGGTATTGCTATACGAAATGCCATGTATGCTTCCGACAACCCAGCTCAACATTGGCTTGCTTAGGCATCGCTCGCACACCATCACCAGCTATTGGTGAGCATGTGATGGCTGTAGCCTCTTTTGAAAATGCTGAAAAGTTTGGTCACGTGTTCCACATTGCTGACAATGACGCACATTATGGTCCTTTTGGTAAGCATCATTATTACCCAAACTTGCGGACAATGACTAAAGCTGCATAATAATGAACCCATTTGCTTAGAATATACTATGTCCGATGGCCGTTTTCAATTCCCTAATGATACCCAAGCGCTTTTTCCATTCACGGTCCTTTTGGATCCTTCTCTAAACAACACCTCGTCTGATGAGGCGCTTTTCGCATCTGTCAGCAAATCATGTGAACCTATCAATGTGGATTTGACAGGTAGCATTGTCCTTGTGCAGCGTGGCTCATGCGAATTTGGTCAAAAAGCAATGTATGCGCAAACGGCAGGCGCTGCAGGATTGCTTGTATGGGATAGAAAGGAAGATGAAGCCATCCAAATCGATTTAGAAGGATATGAAAACATTGACATCCCTGTTGGCTCGGTGGATGGTGACTTAGGGCATCGGCTTGTAAAGCAATACGTTGACAATCAAAACCAAACGGTGGGCTTTAGCGATAGCCTCATTCGCATGCCCAATGGTGGTAAACCATCAAAGTAATGTCATCCTGTGTGAGCAAGTTGTAGCGAATAGCTGCTAATTTTAGTCATAGATTCTCGACTTGGGGACCGGATGCAGAGGTAAGGAATTGAGCTACGATGGATCTAATGATAACGTACACTTATTGTGATCCATCTCAGCTGCATCTCAAGCCTGATATTGCTGGGATTGGTGGTACTGTATTTTCTACATATCCAGTGAGCATGGGTAAGTTGTCATTTATTGATAGATGAGAGCTCTAATCTTAGTCTTTGTTCTCTTCCTCAGGCAGCTACAGGGTGCTGAGTGGCACAAGCATGGCAACGGTAATAAGAGCTATAGTATACGTACACTACATGAAGGCTGATACGCATCATGCTATGTCTGTAGCCCTATCTTTCTGGAAGCACAGCTTTGTATTTGCAAGCAAAAGGACGACATGGTACCAAACGTACGATAACGGCATTGCTCAATCATGCATCACCCACATTTTTGTCACACTCCGATGCCAATGGCACTGAGTTGATCGATACACCCATTAAACAAGGAGCAGGTCTTGTGCAAGTAAGTAAATAAGGTTATCAAACAATGAACTTAAGATAATGACACGTGGGCAAATCCAAGGTGTTGGATGCCATTCGAGGGACCGTGCGTGTGAACCCTTTTAAAATTTCTTTAAATGACACAGCCAACTTGCCTACCAATGTCACTATCACGATCCATAATGATTCCCACGATACCAAGAACTTCACACTACACCATTTACCCGCTGCCTCTATCTCAGGTAAGAGCACTTCTGTAATCATACCCCTGAAAAGCTGCCATCTCATCCATGTTACCCACCCCCGCTATTGTAGGATACAATCTTACTTCAAGTGCCGTTCCACTTGCAAAGCCCAAGTATCTTCATGCACATGCCGATGTTCACTTTGACGAAACCAGTATTGTTGTCCATGACAACCAATCAGCTGTTGTCACTATTGCATTCCACCCACCTAATGTCAAACTCGAAAACGAGCACGCAATCTATGGTGGCTATATTGAAGTAAGATCGCAAAATGAGGATGATGATGAGCCTGCTGTTCGTGTACCCTACATGGGCGCTCAAGGTGCTCAGCGTGATCTTGCCATTTTGGATAGGAATGTAAGTGTAAACGAGGGTGTACAATCATGACATGATGGCATTGACATTATGATCCTTCAAAGCGAGGATATCCCTTCATCGGTAACCGCTATGGTGAGCCATTGACCAAGATACCCACATACAACTTTGCTCGAAATGATATGCTTTATTTGTTCTTGCGGATTGGCAACCCAACACGGCAATTAAGATCCGAGCTTCTCTACAATAACGGCACCGTGGTGGGCAACTTGCCTGGTTTATACGATGCATGGTTGGCTCGTAATGACCACAGCGATGAAAATTTCGAGTATGCTTATGAATGGAATGGTGGTGTCTATGTACCTGGTCCAAGTGATCAATATCGCCATGGTCGTCATCGTCATCGTCATCATCATACTAAAGCATGGCATCATCTTCCACGTGGTACCTATCGATTACGAGTCTCAGCTTTGCGTATCTTTGGTAATCCTGATCAAGAAGAGGATTGGGATATTTGGGAATCGAAACCATTCCATGTGCTAGAGGATGGCATGGACATGAGCCGATATAGTGCTTTAGATTTACTAGCGGCAAGAGAATAGGTTATAATTGACATTCAAATCAGTGACATTTTAATGTAGTAAATAGGGAAAAGCAGAAAGAGAGAGAAGAAATAAAACAAAGAATCGACTTTTTTTTGTGTCTAATATGTGTGTGTCATGATAATGTGGGAGAGTGTGTGTTATTGTTACAGACCGGTGTGCATGTGTATGTATAATGTGAGCGTGCGTGTTGAGTGGGAATGGTGTTAAATGATAGAAAAGGAGAATGATGCTGCTGCTTAATCAAACTTGATGCTGTGTGATTCCATTGAAATACGACCACCACGGTAAGAACCTCGCTTCTTTTTGTTCTTTTCGGCTCTAAACTTGTCACCACGTGTCTTGATCAAATCAACATGAGCCTTCCAACCATACGAGGTCTCATCAGAGCCACCCTTGGAAACATAGGTGTTGTCCTTCAAACGTTCATCAAGAAATTCAACCTCCTCAGGGCGCACACGTTGGAAAGGAGTACCAGGCTTTCGTTCACGGAACACCTTTTTGGCTTGTGGCATCTCGGCATCTTCATCAAGTTTATGCTTGACACCAGCAGCAGGAACCTTGTTTTCTTGATCAGTGCTACTGGCAGAAGATGATTCAGCTTGTTCTTCTTGCTCTTGTTCCTTCTTTTGTTCCTCTTCTTCTTCTTCAGAGTCGCTGTCACTGGAAGATGAATCGGACGAGCTATCGTCACTGCTGCTGCTGCTGCTGCTGCTATCGCTGCTGCTATCGTTTTGTTCCTTCTTTTCAGTGGCATCCTCCTTCTTATCATCAGCGTCACTATCTTCCGAATCACTTGATTCACTATCAGCATCCGATCCACTATCATCCTTCTTGTCATCATCATCATCATCACTATCGCTGTCAGAGGAGCTGGAGTCATCATCGGAATCGCTGCTGCTGGAGGAATCGGAATCACTCGAATCATCCTTCTTGGCTTCCTTCATTTCGGTATCACCATCCTCATCATCCGAATCGCTGGAAGAATCGCTATCGCTGCTGCTGCTGCTGCTAGAAGATGAAGATTCATCCTTAGCCTCCTTCATTTCGGTATCTTGATCTTCCTTCTTTTCATCTTCGGATTCGCTTTCAGAGGAAGAGGATGAATCGCTGCTGCTGCTGCTGCTGCTGGATGAAGAGGAGCTGCTGCTAGACTCTTTCTTGGCTTCTTCCTTCTCATCCTCAGATTCACTTTCGCTGCTGCTAGAAGAAGAAGAGCTGCTGCTAGATTCCTTCTTGGCTTCTTCCTTCTCATCTTCAGATTCGCTGGATGATGATGAGCTGCTATCACTGCTGCTAGACTCCTTCTTGGCCTCTTCCTTTTCATCTTCAGATTCGGATTCGCTTGAAGAGGATGATTCGCTCTCAGATGACGAAGAGGATGAATCATCGCTGCTGCTGCTGCTGCTGCTTTCAGACTTGGAAGTGGTCGATGGAGACTCTTCCTCCTTGGGCTTGGCTTCTTCCATAACTTCATCTTCTGATTCGCTCTCACTGCTGCTGCTGCTATCACTTGAAGAAGAAGAATCGCTGCTGCTGCTATCGTCACTTGACGACGACGACGAAGAAGAAGAATCACTCGAAGCATCGTTCATTTCAGTGTCGTCACTAGTAACACAACGTATGAATACACCAATCCAATAGATACATCATCCAATAGAATAATACCTTTCACCAGTGGCATCCTTGTAGATATCCTCGAGGGACTTGTCACCAGACTGATCTTCCAACTACTCAACGTAATGAGAACCGATAGATCTCGATAGATCGTTTTGAATAGAGAAGGTTACCTTTGAGTTCTTTTTCTTCATTTGATCAGCAGCTTCGGCATGACCATGCGAGCGAAGATACGCATACACCAGCGATTCGAGAGACATGAGGACGATGTCAAAAAAAAGAGAGGGACAAGGCTAAAATGGAATCGGGATTTGCTCGCAGGAAACATTTTTTTAATTGATAGTGGCTTGGAGTGCCATGCAACCAAAAGTAAAACTCAGTTGAAAGGTTGAGCGGATTGTGCAACAAAGAAAGTGAGAGAAGAGAAAGAGAGAGAGAGAGAGAACTACACTACTACTACGTGTGTGTTCAAAAATAAAGAGAAACTATAGGAACGATCAACATCTTAGCGAGACCAAGAGCGGCTACGGCTTCTGGATCGGTAAGAGTATCTTCTTCTACGGCTATAATAAGGGGATCGAGAACGGCTACGACGACGAGAACGACGATCACGATCACGACCATAACGACCACCACGACCACCACCATCAGCACGCTTTTCACCCATATATTCACCAGGTGTAGGTGTGTGTGGACGATGGGTAACCGAATAATCCACTCGGACAGCACGACCATTGATGTTCTAAAAGAAAGCATCCTATATGAGAATGACAAGCTTTACACTTTCCATCCCATGTATACATACCATGCCATTGGTCTCGGTACGTGCACGTTCAGCTTCATCTTCAGTTTCAAAGTACACAAAGGCAAAACCACGCGAGCGTTGATGCTATAATAATCACCCATTGAGTCTTCCATATCGCATCACATCATGTACAATACTTACTCTACGATCATAGACGACTGTCACGCGTTGCAAATTGCCGTATTGTGAAAAGATGTCCTCAAGATCAGGTTCACGAGTAAAGATACTCAATCCAAAGACACCCAAAATGTTGGAACGCTCAGGCGCATCCTAAAGAAAAAGCACCCATTGTGAGTATACACACACGCACGTATATATATATGTATATATCCAGCTTACCCTCGTGCCATGCATTTCCTTCTCCTTTCTATATAAGATGTATAATAACAAAGTTAGTACTTTTTCTTTGATCAAATGAGATTGGCATACTAACGCAGACCTTCTACGTCTTTCGACCGAACGAGATCTACGACGAGGAGGAGAACGGCTATAGCGGCGACGAGGAGGCGAGCGACTGTGTGTAATATAGAATGGCCTTGGTCAGATTCTTGTTCAACTTGCATAAATCACATGTTGCTTGGAAAAAGGGGAAGAAATTCATGTCTTGTGCCTTGCTCTTTACACGTGCGCGATTTGTATGTGTGCATGTATGTGTGTGTGTATGTGTATATCCCTTCCACTCTCTTCTTTTTTCCTTGCTCAGGCATGAAAAATAAAAGCTTGCCAACTTGAGATAGGCTCGTGTTGTGTGTGTATAGGTGTGTGTGCATGTGTGCATGTGCCAGGAAAAGAAAAAGAAACATCAAGAGCAAGAGAGAGAGAAAGAGAGCAACAAACAACAAACCACAAGGAGGAAGAGAGAGAGAAAAAAGAGAAAAACAAAAAAAAAAGTGATAAAGGAAAGGATGCTTACCTTCTTCTCGAATAGCGTCTACGATCACGACTTCTCGAACGCGAATAGGATGGTGAACGGCGTCTATAGCGGCGATACGAACGCGATGACGAACGGCTGCGGGAACGGCTGCGGTCGTCTCGACGACGTTCAGGACTGGGAGAACGTCCTCTTGGGCTACGAGAACGAGAACGGCTATAGCTACGAGCACTTACAGGCGATCGGCTCTTGCTGTAAGATCGAGAACGCGAACGACCACGCTCAGGAGATCCAGGCGCGCCATATTCATCTTGACGTTCGGGAGTTGCTTCTCTAGATGGTGGACGATCCTATTTATCCATGACAACCACCAATGTTAGTTGATTGGCCTTATAAACAAGTTGCAACATGCCCATAGACACGATCTCTCCTGGATACTCACCATTTTGTACTCGTTTAAACTGTTGATCGATACCAAAAACGCTTACGCGTGGAATAGGCAAGTATCAACTGAAAAAGTGAGAAGAGTGGGAGCTGATAGCAAAAAGCAGCAGCCTGTCACATACTACTAGCAAGCCTTACTAGCCAATCATTTCCACTTCCCACAAACGCCCATGCAAGACATCACATGATCATAGCTTCCATCACTCGCTTTCATTATTGAACAATCACTTCTACATCATCATAAAAATTCATTATCCAACGACTTTGAGCTTGTTAATGTTGCCATTCGTATGTTGTCATGATCCAATTTCGGATTCTTTTTAGTATGGTGTTGGGAGGGGGTTGGCATGGATAAAGAATAATGGCACCAACAATGTTGAACATATCTCATTGTGCTGTTTTACAGCTCACATTCCTTGTTTCCAAATTAATCTTCTTAACAAACTCATCACATTTGGTATACTTTTGAGTCACTGGTGTTTGTCAATCACTTTGGTATCCTTGCCAACCTGAAGGCTGATGCTCGTGTACGTTTGATTACATGCCTTTGCACATTTGCCAATGTCTCCTTCCTAATTAGTCAAAGACCAAATGGAATCTGACCGCTGGAAATGATACGTTTACCATGAGGGTGTTGTCATGTTGCTTTTAAAAGAAGATTCCTTGTCGTCGTGTTCCTGAACCATGATGATGGCTGTATTCCACACTATGGTGCTGTCCATACTGTATCAATTCAACCTTGTCAAGTAAACGAGAGAATAAAACCTTCATGGCAATCATAATACCAATGCCATCATAGTGGGATGGATCTTGAATGACAAGAATATTACAACCACGATGTCCAACAATTTGCTTCGCAAAGATGTGAGCGGCGTTCAAGATAAGCAGGGTACTGCTGTGTGAAAAAGGGAGCTATAGTGCTCTGGCACATGACATTTATAGAATTACATGAAGGAACATTTTCATTTTGAGGACGCACATGTTTATGCATGGGAAGTGAGCGAACACTGTGCTCCGATCACGCTAATAAAACATAAATCACCGATGGTACCTTTCGCCATCTTCGTTACAGAGGAAGGATGGCATCGTGCTCGAACAGCTCATGCCAACAATCAACATGCTGCATTATGGCTTGTTGTCTCCACTATGCACTTGAATGATGAATAGGGTATAAGCTGCTGGTGGTGGTGTATTATGATGTCAGTGATATCCACGCGATGAGAAAGATCAGCAATAAACGTTTGTCAGCCATTGGGGTTACAAATGCGTTCTTTAGGTGGCGATGTGGGGAATCAAAATCATGTGCTTTTTACGGCGGCGGACAACGTTCCGTGCAGTTGCATGCGTGTTTTTACGATTACCCCTATATTTGTATAGACGTGAGGAGAGAGTAAGCAATTCAAGAGGATGGAGGCATGTCATTGATTTGATTGCTAGATAGATTGACCCATCTATGCTTGCATGGCACACATTTTTTCGACTCGCATTCATTGTTGATGGAGAAGGTATATTTTCTCACTTTCCATTTTAGGTTCATTAAAGAGCTCACATGCAAAAAACACTTGGGGCAAGCATAGTTACACAGCCTTGTCATCGAAAAATGAAGCCTTTTGGCAAAGCATCTAGCTGGGCCATCTGATTGGTTGTGTGGTGACACAACCAAAAGCGTATAAGAATGGGAAATGTCACCGCTGCCAAAACAATTACACTCCATCTTTCTCTTTTACATACACACATCATCATGTCTGACATTGTCGTTCCCGGTTTCAAGGCTTCCGAGCTCATTGCTGAATTGAACAAGGCTTTCGAAGGTTTCTCTGATGAGGAGCGCGCCAAGCTTATCAAGCAGGTAAGAAAGTCTTGTCATTTATTATCACGCGTCTACAAGTCATGCTAATCGAGAGACTATGGGATATAGGTCAACGGTGTCTTCCAATTCGTCATCAAGAACAAGGAGGGCAAGTCTGAGACCTTCACTGTTGATGTCAAGAAGGAGGGTAAAGTTGTCCGTGGTAAGGGTGCCACCAAGGCTGACGCCATCCTCTCTATTGGTGATGATGACTTTGTCGCTTTGGCCCAAGGCAAGCTCAACGGTAAGTTTGGAAAGGGAGGCTTGTGCAAAAAGAAGGCGTTCTTTTCTAACCCAATACAATGGCGTGTCATTTAGGTCAAAAGGCTTACATGAGCGGCAAGCTCAAGATCAAGGGCCAAATCATGCTGGCCATGAAGCTCGACAATGTCTTCAAGAGCGTCAACCCCACTGCCAAGCTCTAAACGATCTCCCACACACACCCACATACAACCACCGTTCATCCCTTGTATCATACCACACACACTCTCTCTTAATAAACGCACCATCTTCTTCATACAGATTCCATTGCTTTCCATCTAGTTGTTTGTCGAATGTTATATACGCCATGTTGCCTAGTGACAGGTATCCCGCTGCAGCAGGCATGCTTTTAAGCTGTGTCCATGGCAACGCCGACGCACAATGAATGATCATGGATATGGATTTCAAAGGTAGGGTAGTGCCCTATCACGAGGAAAAAAGGAGCTTTGGCTTGTATGAGTAATATGATAAATGGATCCGTGATGGGTATGGCTGATGATGATACTTGGAGTACATGGGAGTGGTACCTCAATCAAGGTATGGTGCAAATAGCAAAGCTGCATGTGATGCATATTTCGGGAGAAAATTGATCCCGTGATCTGCAGCACAACACACGCTGAATGAATTTGTGGAAAAAAGAATGTTGAGAAGGGCTGGCCATTCAAATGAATGCCGCATTGACATAATTGTATCCTTGGCATCAATGCGAGCTTGATCCTTAACCACAATCGTTGTTCCTTTTGAATAGCATAGCCCACCCTCTTATGGATAAAACAATTACTCGTTGGTAACACATAAAGACATGTCATGTTTAAGAAGAGGTGCTTTATTGTACGTAGATTTGATCTAATGGCATATATATAGTAAATGCATAATACCGGTTTATATGATACATAGTAAGATACATAATAGGTTGTTGGGTTCAAGTCTTGAGAAGAAATTTCTGCAACCCCTATGAAGACGATGATCGAAATACTGGTTAAAGAAATAACGCGTAATCTTTTTAGCTTATGGATGTATCATGCAATGATGGTAAACAGTGATATGAAACATTGAATTGATATCGACTGAGAAAATGTAGCTGCTGGACGTAACATGCCAAGAGGTGATTTCTGCGTTTCGGCTACACAAAGGCCAAAGAGTGAGCCGGGTCTCGAAAGCTGAGTCAAGGCCTGTTCCCTCTCTCAACGCTCTCTCTCTTCCTTTGCTCATCAATGAATGCATTGCCGAACGCGAGTGCAGCTCCCAAATCAGAAAGTCCCGATGCTTCGAGTAAACGGATACGCATCAGTCGTGCATGGTAACGGCTTCGATCGCATAAATGTCGAAAGGGTGTTTTGCTCATGGTAGATCTTGTTTGACAGCGACTTTTGCCGACGAAAAAAGGTGAAATGCCACTTCACTCCTGGCACGCCATGTTCCAACTGTGTCTCCTATGGTGTATCATGCGAGTTTACAGACAAGTAGGCGTTTTTCGATGCCTTTGTTTATGATACACACTGACCATGATTTGATTTCCTGCAGTGCCAAAAAGAGAGGACCCCCTAAAGGGTAAGTGATGGTGATGGTGGTGGCAAAGACAATCAATGTGGATGGATAGCTTAAAAAAGACAATGAATAGCTTCATTGATGGATTGGAGAAACGAATACGAAGAATTGAGTCCATTTTGGCAGGAGGTGCAGCAGCAGGAATAGACGAACCGCATCCGACACAACAACCATGTCCATTCCAGCAGCAACAACAACAGCATCAGCAACAACAGCAACCCTTTGTCGTATCACGTAAAGGCTATGTACGGTCCAAGGCACCTTCTGCAAAGCACATACGATGCGTTGGTGATACATCCATGCTCTTGTTACTACAAAAGAAGCTTTCCATTGGCCGCATTAGCGAATTGATGAACCACATTGCACCAGGACCCGATTTTCATCAATATGGTCGAGAACTTGTACAAGTATTGGATGATCAAGTGAGCATGTCCCAACTCTTCCCCGACGCAATGCATCTACAACGCGGTGTCAATTTCTGGATTTACACAACGACAGGTGCCGATCGACATACCAGTGATCGTTTATTACAAATGTAAGTTGTTTGAAAAAGGGGTGACTATCACTACTATGATGCTAATTGAATGGGGTCTAGTTATTTCCTCAACATTCATCCCGTTTTACCAGTCGTGGATAAGGTGGAATTTTTACGGCAATATCGTGATCAAGCTGACAATTTTCCTGCTGCTGAGCTCATGAATGCCATGTTTGGTGCCGCTGCACGATTTGTTGAATATGAGACGCAGCACAGCGAGACAACGATGAAGCCTGAGGCACGATGGGACGTTCCTGCAGGATGGAGTGATCATTTTTTCGACCAAGTGGAATCCTTTTTACGGACGAATCCTGGCAATAGTAGCTTATCCACTGCACAAGCCATGATTTTGCTCATCAATACCACGTCCAAAATGACTGCAAAGTCTTCAGCATCCTGGTTGATGAATGGATTGGTAAGTGTGGCACATCACTCGATCGACACTTTGAATATCCGATGACTAAGTTGTATATATATATAGGTTATTCGATTGGTAAGCAGCCTATGCATTATCACATGTGCCATCAAGAAGCATGTTACCTAATGATGTTGTGCTATAGGGTCAAGCATTGGGCCTTCATCGCTGTTGTTCAGAATGGAAAATCAGTAACGAAGAAAAGGAACTACGTAGAAGGATTTGGTGGGGTATGTTTATTGGAGATCGATTTCAAGCAGCTGCTTTGGGTCGTCCAACATCGATACGTGAAGAGGTAAAGTGGTTTGTTTCATTGTTGAGAGGAGAAAGAAAATGTTGACAGAGGATGTGATTATTTTTAGGACGCCGACGTGGAATATCCCAGCACTGTTGTCAGTTGGCGTGAAGTACTTGATGAACCATCAGGGCCAGAGGATGACGCTTATCCACGATTCCCATCCTCCACCTTCAGACCGGCATCCCTGGATGGAAGTGTAGAGCTCTATCAAATATTCTTGCAATTGGTCAAGCTATCCGAGATCCTTGGACGAATTCTTCTTGGCATGTATACACCAGGTGCTCGGCGATGTTCTGCTGTCCAGGGATATGATGCCATTGTCACGCGTCTGGATTATGAATTGACCGAATGGCACCAAGGCTTTCCATTAGCACTCAAGAATACAAAACACAAGGACTTTGATGAAAAGAATGGCTATTTTGCCTCTAGCATTGGTATGTTTCTTTTTTTACATGATCAACTTACAACCTTTGTTTACTCATTACATCTATAGCATCCATATTACTTGCCTACTTTTCATGCCTCATTTTACTTCATCGACCCTTTATTGAACGCGATGTCAGCGCGAGTGATGAAAAGACCCGATCGTCTTATGTCTCTTTTCGAATCAGTACCAGTGCTGCCAGTCGTGGTGTTCGAATTGCCGAGCGGATGACAGGGCGTGATTTCATGATGTTTCCTTACTTGTTCAACGTTTATCCGATCCTTCAATTTTGTTTAATTCACCTGTACAATGCACGCAATCCCGATGTCAGGATATCTACAGCGGGCCGAAAGGATTTACGCAAATCATTGCAATTTGTCGAACGCGTCAAAAACATATCATCCAGGACAAAGTCATTATACGACGTGGTGCAATTGATCATGAAGAATCTTGGTGGCGATCTTCAATTAAGCAGCAGCAGCAGCAGCCATTCAAGTCCCATTGGCCACCATGCATCGCCTCGTCGTGAACCGGTTTCAACGACAGCAGGTGTTCCTCGCAAAGTATCTGATGTAGGCCGTGGAAGTAATCCTCCTCCACCACCATCACCCATGCAACAACAGCAATTGACGCCAAAGCATGAAGCAACAACCACGATACCCTCTGATGCATTTTCCATCGAACAACAATCCCATGCTTCTCCTTCACATTCTGAATGTAAGTTTTTATTATCATGTCTATCTCATAGATCGCTGATTTCATGTTTTGGATAGCATCCTTTTCGGAAGCCTTCACTTTAAAGCAATTTGGATTTGATGTACCCATGGATAATTCATCGGCTGCAGCGTTTTTACAACAACAAGATATGACTTCGTTTACATCAACGCCCTTGGTAGGAGGTGGAGGAGGAGGTCCTACTTCATCCCTGTATCCATCCTATCCACCACAACAGCCCACAGTACCTGATTCGACAACAGCACCTTACCCATCTTCGGTGATGAATACTACTGCAATGCAACCACAACAGTTTTATGGCATGTTCCCAGGACAAGATGCTTCTGCAGCACAATCCAATTTTAGAAACAATCCCAACAACCCATTTGTAAGCTTGCCATCATCGATGGATTGGTCAGATTGGATTCAATGGATGGTACAACGTGGTCCAAGTGACAATAACGGATGGCAACCTTATCCCAGTACCTGATGGATCTTTGCTCTTCTTCAATCATGTGTATATTGCTTTTTTTGTCTTCATATTCTCTCTACCATGTGCATAATCTCCCGTCGTATGATAACAAAATAAATCTTACAAGATGTAAATCACAAAGATGGGACGTGTGTTGACAATTTCTGATCACCGAAGAAAAGGGGTGAGTCGTTATGCTATCGAATGCAGCCTTTGTTAAGACATAATGGATCAATCAGATCCTTTCTCTTCCTTTCTTTATCCTTTATCACAGCATTTACAAATGGATACGTATACTTCTACTATACTTCCACACAATCTTACATAAGCTTTCTATAACACAAGGCATCAAGTGCCCATAGAAGATGATACCCAACCCACAAGAAGGAAAGTCTCTTACACAATTAGAAACATAGAATGGTTGGCCAAGGCAATCTCGTATTCTAAAATAATCCTTAAAGGACGTGTTTGAAAAGTACAATGCATTGCTTCTCTAATTAGAGATACATCAATATGGGAAATCTCTATCTTTTGGACGTGCATTGTGCAAAGGTGGATGAATGGACGTGAGGTGGCACTTGATGCGTGGCACGTAGCGAATTTTGTACAAAACATGGAGTTGATGATGATGATGGCTGCTGTACATGGTTGACATGTTGCACAAATGATGATGATAGTAGCTGTCATGGAATACCTCACGATGATAGCATCAAGGTCAAGTTGACAATGGTTACACTCTTTTTCCACGCGTTGTATAAACCCAATTCCTTCCATCCCATATACCAAAACAACACCCATATCCATATGAACTCGCATGTATTGAAAGCAAGTTGCTACACGTAAATAAAGCTGCTTCTATACCATGGCTATCTGCTGCTCACGTAAACAAGGCTGTAACGCAAGCTGCTGCAAAGGGAAGAACGCTGTTCGAGGCAATGAAGTGAACACCTTGTTAATGCAACTATTGTAATGAACGCTGCAACGGTTGGTCGTGGTAGAGGAGTGTACAAGAGAAGGTGTAGTGTCAAGAGACTCGTGTGCTGTAGAAGAGTGACAAGAAGGCTGTGTACACGCCATGGATTTGCCATTCAGTCAAAGACAATCGGATCAAGGCAGTTGTAGGATTGACATGATGGGTTGAAGCAGGACAATGGTTTGCAGGTGGTAATTGTACTTGAATGGGGGCCAACAGCTGAGAACGGGAGGAAGAGGGAAGAAGCTGAGTGGAAGAAGTGGAAATCAACAACATTTTACTCATGCTTGGATGATACTTCTGTGCTTGAGCGTAACTCGGTCAAAACCTCACGGATCAAGAAAGTTGAAGGATGGAGACAATGGGCTGGAGCAGGACAATCGTTCACATGCATTGGATTGGGAAACAAAGATGATTGAGAGGAATGGGCTATCAAGTGGCAGTTTACAAATAACTTACCAATTTGATTCTTCTGATATTGGATGATACTTCTGTGTTTGAGCGTTTTTCAGTCAAGTCTCATCGGATCAAGAAAGTTGAATGATGGGCATGCTGGGCTGGAGCAGTACAATCGTTCGTATGCATTGGATTGGGCAACAATGGAGAATGGGAGGAATGGGCTATCAGCTGCCAATGTATGAAGTGTTATAGGATAGTGTAAAGTATCATGCATTGACCCTTCGAATCATGCAAGCTAGCTGTGTTACACAAACTCGCCGCTGTGCATCTTTGCTCTACCAGGGTCAAGCTAATTGACATTGAACAAAGACCACCTTTCATATAGCATCACGCTTGCAACATATATAAAACATAAAGCCATCTGTATCTCAAAATTTTACAATCGACCATGGGGTCTTTAATAGAACAGAGTTGCTCGGCGGGGTCAAAGCGATCTTGTGTCAAAGTATGAAGTTCATCGTGGCCATTCCCAGATTCACCCAATGTCGCTACCAGCCAAAAAATATTTTTTTGCTCGTCGTCGAAAAAAACTTCAAGAGGTCGACCCGATTCCAATTTGGCTGGTGGCGACATTTGCGAAATCTCGGATTGGCCACCTCGATCGTGACACTACCCCACAAGGTGCTGTTGGCCAAGCCGAGCAGGTTTGTTCTCATAAAGACCCCATGCTTCATTGTAAAGTTTTGAGGTACAGGCAATTTTATGTTTTACATATGCTGTATGCGTGATACTATATGGAAAGTGGTCTTTGTTCATTGTCAAGCAGCTGGACCCTGACAGAGCAGAAGATGCAGAGGGACGTCTTTGTGTAACACTGCTGTTTTGCATGGTTGAAAGGATCAATGTACAATACTTTATGGATTATCTAGGAACAGGCATGTATTGCCAGCTAACAGCTACTTCCACCCATTACCAACTTTTGTCTACTCCATCATAATGGAACGATGCTCCTCCTCCAGACATTCATTTCGATGATTCAAGTATCTTGATCCGAGCTGATTTGTCCGAGTTACGGTCAAAGAGGGATTACACCAATCGTACATGCAACACGTACGATCTAGCTCAACTGATGTTTCTTTGTTTGAGCGTATCTTAGTCAAATCGGCTTGGATCAAGGCGATTGAATCATGGAAATGATCGCCTGGAGCAGGAGCATCGTTCCATTGTCGTGGAATAGACAAAGCCTGGGAATGGGAGGATGTGGCTATTAGCTCGCAATGTATGAGCTAGGATCAAATAGGGTACACTAATGTGGAGCTGATTTGTTCTCTGTTCTAACATTGTTCCAGGGCAGCTTATCACCTTATTGTAATTTGTAAATATGGATGGCAAAGAGTTGTAGCCCACCCCTTAAAAATGAATAGTACAAGATCGTAGTGTGGTTGCGTAAATGTGTAAGCTTAATGTACGATCGTTACTCCATTGGTAATGATAAGCTATTCAATGACTCAACATTAAAGATACATTGCTCGAATGTATTATGGTGGGTAAAAACAAACATGAACATCCCATCTGATATTATGCACAACAACGTCACATGGTCTCAATCAGGGAAAACAACAACAAGAAGATTTATAAAGTTTGTTGAAAACAGCTCTCTTTTAGGGGTTGGGGGGAATCCTCGTGATATTGAAATGAAGATATAGAAGATGTGATATGTGTGTGTGTGTGTGTCGTGTATAAATGTGTGTATGTGCGCGCATGTGTTTGTATATATATATAAATGTCACTTTCTTTTTGTGTGAATGTGTGTGTTTGTGTGTATACTTTGAGCAACAACAAGGATATGCAAAAGAGGAATAGGGGATCACCGTCGACCAGCTAACTTTGAGAATGCTCCTGGGGGACGTAAGCCTGTAGTTTTTCGACTACCACCTGCTGCTGATGGGGGTCGTGCAATACGAGATGCATCTGATTCTTTTTGTCCTGTTGTACTACGTCGGCTTGAATCCATGCCAAAAATACTAGTTCTTGCTCCTCCTCCATTTGTGGGTGTAGGACTACGAGTGGCTCTTGTAATCCCAATACGAGAAGTTGAACCATTGGTCGTGCTATTGCCTGAAGAAGAGAATGGCGAATGGGGTCTATAACCACCTGTAGTCGTACGTGCAGGACCCAAGGTGGGCGATCTTGCTCCTGAAGCTCGAGAATCAGATGATGCCGTTGTGTTGCGTGATGGTGTTGGTGGTGCAGGAATGTGGCTCGAGCGTAATCCTCCAATACGACTACCAGGTCGACTAGGACCATTGCCATGGGTTGCGCTGTTGTTATGGGAAAGTCGAGAGCTTGATAAACCAGTGGATCGTGATGAAGTAACCACTTGAGGCTTGGATACAGAACGACTCGATGGAAGTGGTACATGAGTGGCACGCTTAGCAAGGCGTGATGTGCTGCTACCACCATTACCACCACTACCACCACCACCACCTCCTAACATGCCACGCGTGCCTATCCTTGAAGAAGATCGCAATGGTTCACCCGATGATGACTTATCAGACATACGACGTCCAGTGTTGTAAGAAGGTGTTGTTGATCCACCATTACGGGAGCTCGCGCGTGGTCGTGGTAAAGCAGACGTATTGGATGATGCTTGACTGCTACCAGCTGAATAATTAGAGAGTCGACTATGCGATCTTGACGAGTTGGAAGTGGTGGATTCTGATGGATGAAGTACTGGTGTCATTCCATAACGTGCGTATTGGTTGTTGACACCTCCTGTGGTCACTGTGGATTGTGATGTAAGGCTGTTTTCGCTACTAAGACTGCTGGATCGTTGTCGTCCAAGCTTTTGTTCAGGTGATGAGGCTGAATATTGTGAAGATGATAAGGCTGATGGTGTACGTAAACGACCTTGCACCGTTTTTGAGGATGTATAGGATGCATTGGAAAGTGTCTCCAAGTGGTCATCTATAAGAAAGAATGCATATTTGTTTTTTTTCCTTTTAGTATCCTAAACAACACGCCAAACACACTCACACACACACCACCACACATCAAAAGCTTACCTTCTGGTGACCAATTCATGAGCTCGTCATCATTCGTGCTCTATGATGTGATGTTGTCAATCAATGCTCATATCTCTTTTTACTCTCTCTCTTCTTTCACCCTTCCGCTTCCACATTTATCATTATAACATACCATGCCAGCCAATTCATCAAAAGAGCCACTCAACAAGTCATTTGAAGTGCTTGTCTTTTGCTCCGCTTGCTTTTTCGGGACAAAGTTTGCGAGGGTCTGTAACAAAGAGTGAAACACGTTCAGGTACCCAGCCGATAACGCGTCGTAGTTGTCGCATAACTTACATCATCCATTTTCCAAAAATCATCAGTAGAATCATCCAGATCCAATCCAGCTAGGTTGGGCAAATCGGTTTCATCATCCACTTTTTCAGTATAATTGTTCTTGATCAATTCATCCAAGTTGATGCTGTCAGTGGAGCTAACGGAGGCAATCGATGCGGGCCGACCAGGTTTTAAGGGTTGCCGTTCAACTGGTATACTACAAGTATCCACGTTAGATACACATACATAGACACTTGTATAGAATAAACGATCTCAAACCTGTTGTTGTCGGCATCGACAAGAATTGAGGAATTGTTGTTGAGAGTGGTGGCATGTGGTTGTTGACGATAGCCTGGGACATTCATGAGCCATCCTTGGACGTTGTCTTGGTTCTCTTCCACATGGTCTTGGGTCGGAGATCCGAGGCCGTTCATGGTCGATGGAGAAACAGCAGAAGCCGTAGACTTGTTAGTTGGCGTCTGTTGGTGTTGGTGTCGATTGAACCGAAAGAAAGAACGTAGCTTCGGAGATTGAGTCATTCAATACAAAAGTAATCGGCTTGAAAGTTGGGTGGTGGTGGTTGTCGGAGAGGACGTTGACGTGTGAGTGAGTGTGTTGTGTTGTGAAAGAGTGTTGAATAAAGCGTAAAGCGTGGTGGTGGTGGTAAAAGGGAAGGGAGGAGAGAAAAGAAAAACAAGCAGGAGTAGGCAAAAAGCAAAAAAAAAGGGAGCGTAATTCGATGATATACACAGCATCACCCAAAGCATCACAGGAGGCAACTCTATGGTAATAGTAATAGTAGTAGTAGTAGCAGCAGCGTGGCCTAAAATAGGGAAAGGGTGCTTGTTTATGCTGCTGCATGTGCGTTTACACCATCATCATCATCATCATTGCTTATGGATGTTTTCACCTGGCCATGTTTGACAATCGGCTATACAGCTAGGCCATATGATCTTATGATCCCCCGTTTTCCATGGAATCGCAGCAATATTCACGCACTTGCATATCATGGAGTCCTTCGGCCTTTGTTGATTAGCTTTACCCTTTTGGATTATGCAGCTATTCCAATGACAACTTTTCTCTTTGATTACAGCCATCCCCAATGCCTATATGGCCATATGTACGCTATCAGCCTTTGCCAAGTAATGGATCTCGCTTAAGAACGTTGGCCGGTCGTCCTATTAGACAAATTTAGTGGTGACCCTTTATAGCAGCAGTCATCTTCATACTACAAGTTGACACCAACCAAATACAAGAAGCCATGACAACATGCATACCTACGGCCACCATAATCTGCTTCAAAGTGCTTTTGGAACCTAACAGCATTACGCTCTATATAAAAAGCATTGCATTGACAACTGTAGTATCCTACTACAAGCCAATGTTTTGTCCCAATTATGCATCATCCTTGCAATAGTAACAACAAATGAATCCTTTGAAGGATTTGAGGTAAAAGATGTAGTTCGAAACAAGATGCCTTTAATTGTGGTTTGGCATGTGCCTGATTTACTATGGATGAATTTAAGCGAAATGTGCTATGTTTCAGAGAGTGGATCACACATTGTGACCAGAGACGAATCGCAGTAGTGCTGGTGTCACCTTTTCACCCAGTAATTTTGGAGGTCCACTCTCTCTTTCTTTTTTCACTTGACAACGTCTCTTTTTTTTCTTCTTCACTTGTTCTCCTTGCCCCACAGGCGACTTGAAGACCTACACAACCGACCATGAGTATGAAGAATAAGAAAGGTAAACATGACCAAGCTACACTCAATGGACTCAATGCTAATCAATGCGCTCTATAGGCCCTACCCAGGTAAAGCGAGCAACGCAGCTTTTTCGAAAAGATTCAGCCGATCTCATATACGATCAACGTTTTCAATAGGCCGAATTGCTAGTCAAGACGTGTGCCGAGATCGTCAATGAACTTGTTTATGCTGTGGAGAACAAGAAGGATGTGAATTTGAATGGGTTGAAGCATCGGATCGCGCGCAAGAACAAGCTCACTTGTTTGCCCAAGTTGGTGGATATCATTTCGGCTATTCCTGATCAACACCGTACAGCTTTATTGCCCAAACTCAAAGCAAAGCCCATCCGTACTGCCTCTGGTGTAAGTAGATTGCCTGATAGAGGTCTATCTTTATCTAATGGTTTCTTTTTGTATAGATTGCTGTTGTGGCTGTCATGTGCAAGCCTCATCGTTGCCCTCACATTGCCATGACAGGCAATATCTGCGTGTAGGTATTTCCTCCTTTGTTATTGGGTTCTTTGTTCTTAAACAATCATTGTAGTTATTGTCCTGGTGGCCCTGATTCCGATTTCGAATACTCGACACAGTCTTATACTGGTTATGAGCCAACATCCATGCGTGCCATTCGTGCTAGATACGATCCTTACGAGCAATCCCGTGGTCGTGTGGAGCAATTGCGTAGCTTGGGTCACTCGGTGGATAAGGTCGAATACATCATTATGGGTGGTACCTTCATGTCCATGGCTGAAGATTATCGCAACTGGTTTATCGCCAACTTGCACGATTCCTTGTCCGGTCATTCAAGCAATGATGTCGATGAAGCTGTCAGGTAGGATCAAGGTCAATGAAAGGAAGGATGATCTATGTACACTGACACGCACTCTTCTATATAGATATTCCCAACAAAGCCAGACCAAGTGTATTGGTATCACCATTGAGACACGTCCTGATTACTGCTTGAAGCCCCATTTGAGTCAAATGTTGCGATATGGTTGTACACGTCTTGAAATTGGTGTCCAAAGTGTGTATGAGGATGTGGCAAGAGACACGAATCGGTAAGTTGGGACATACACCTCCATATGTATATATGCTCATAAGGATGGGATGTATAGTGGTCATACGGTGAAGGCTGTTTGCGAATCATTCCAGCTTGCCAAGGATGCCGGTTTCAAGGTGGTATCTCACATGATGCCTGATCTTCCCAATGTTGGCATGGAACGTGATATTGAGCAATTCAAGGAATACTTTGAGAACCCTGATTTCCGTTCGGATGGTTTGAAGATCTACCCTACGCTTGTCATTCGTGGTACTGGTTTATACGAATTGTGGCGGACAGGTCGTTATCAGAACTATACTCCCAATGCCTTGGTGGATCTCGTCGCTCGTATCCTTGCTTTGGTGCCACCATGGACTCGTATTTATCGTGTGCAGCGTGATATCCCTATGCCTTTGGTGACTTCGGGTGTCGAGCACGGCAACTTGCGTGAACTTGCTCTCAATCGTATGAAGGATTTGGGTACCGAGTGCCGTGATGTGCGTACGCGTGAAGTGGGTATTACAGAAATCCATCACAAGATCCAACCAGACCAAGTCGAATTGATTCGACGTGATTATACAGCCAACGGTGGCTGGGAAACCTTCTTGTCGTATGAGGATCCCCATCAAGATATCCTTGTTGGCTTGTTGCGTTTGCGAAAGTGCTCACCACAAACATTCCGCCCTGAATTGACATCCGCTGGTCAAACTTCAATGGTTCGAGAGTTGCACGTTTATGGAAGTAAGTTGGAAAGGAAATAGTGGATGAGAGATATAGAAAACTCACAATGGTGGTTTTATTCTAGGTGTTGTACCTATGCACGACCGTGATCCTACCAAATTCCAGCATCAAGGTTTTGGTACACTATTGATGGAGGAAGCTGAGCGTATCGCAAGAGAGGAGCATGGCAGTGTCAAATTGAGCGTCATCTCTGGTGTGGGTGTCCGCCATTATTACGCCAAGCTTGGTTATTATCTGGATGGTAAGTTCTGGAGAAGATATATGGTATTAGTAGATTGACATTTTCTTTGTTATAGGCCCATACATGTCAAAGATGCTTGTTTAAACCCATATCCAAAAAAAGACCTTCCCTTGTTTTGCTTTAAAGTTCATGTACATACTCCATTTTATCAACAATGTTTGCCCTGGTGCACATTCAACATTCAAAAGGTGTTATGGATTTGAGAAAAGGATAGCTGCCAAGTGTTGAGGAGAGAAAAGCAGGGAGCAATGAAATGTTATGCTATACAGCAATTGTGGGATCTGCATGGGCCAACCGCTTTATGTATGCGCATACGAAATAGCATCCCTTACCCCATGTTGCAGATGTCGATGTAAAAATAAGCAATGGATTTCCGAGGATTATCTTTATCCATCCTCCTTACTCACAGCCACTGTTCCACACCAAGATCGACGATGGATATAAAACAAGCATGATTTGACATGTTATCATTTGTGTATATACTCCATTTGCATGACGATCCCCAACCAAGTTTGTATTTTCTTTTTCTATTAGCTATTTTCAAATGACCCGTTTTATCTCTACCATTCGTTGTATGTGTAACCCAAAGATTGACCACTATGAGTGCATGCATCTCCTGAAGTGCCTCCGTGGAAAGCCATGCAGGCTACCATGTATAACACTTACGTGGCGGATGTACGTATAAAGATGTCCGAAAGAGGAGCAGCAGCAGCAATATGCGAGGTTTCGAGTAGGGGCAAGTAAACAATTGTATGTGAACTTTCCATTCATTTATGTACACTTCTTTCTTCTTTTCTATCATTCAACATGAACACGACAATACCCACACAACCTCGACGCATGACGTCTGATACACATCGTAATCATCGTACCCGTGCCAGCTTTCAGTCGTATCATGGACATCAACCAAGCTATAATCATTATCACCATCATCCTAATAATAACAATTCGAATTACAGAAGAGCATCTTCACCTATCCTTCGCCAATATTCACCACCTCCTACTCGTCTTTCCATTGCAGAGAGATTCATGACGTTATCGAACACGGATGAAAAAACAGAGAATAATAATGAGGAACAACGGATACCAGCATCAAGTAGCAGGTCGCGTATATCGATTGCAGATCAATTTATGACCATACCACGTTCACCAACAGCTGAAAAGTCAATGGCATCCGATGAAAAAGTACAAAAAGATTGTTGCTGTAATCCTTCATCAGCAGTGGATGACCGATTGATGACTCAAGCAAGCACCCCCTTGAACATGGCTGCTGGTGAGTTTGTATTACAGCATGCTATGCATTGTTTCACTCAGTCTTAATATTGGCAGACCATCATCACGAGTACACTACTAGTACACATCCTTATCACCATGGCAACCCCGCATCACCGTTGCCATCACCACCACAGCGCACATTCCATCATCCTTATCATTCAACACCACCTACATCGATTTATTCATGTTGCAGCGATTATGAAGAAAAGCATACTACTCCACCACTCGAGAAGGAGGAACATGACATTGAAGAAGGGGGGAATCAAAACCTTAAAGCATTACCATCACCATCACCACCATCTCAAGAAATCAAAGGTCTAAAACGACGACGAAGGAAACGAGTGATATGCGTGATTCTTTTATTTCTATTCCTGATTATATGTGGTTTGGGCGTGTTTATTGCATGGCCACGAGCACCATTGATTCGCATTGATGGCGCAAGTCTCCTATCCGCACCGCAAGTGGCTGAAGTCCCCAACCAGGGTCGTGGGGGCAATGTTGCTTTTGAAACCAGTTGGCTCGTGCATGCCAGTGTCGACAATCGCGTCAATTACATTCCCATTCAATGGACCACGGAGACTGTTGTCAAGGATGCACTTACAGGCATGGTGATTGGTCGTCAACAACAAGAACAAGAACAAAAGGATAACATTTGGGTGCTGGCACCTCGATCTATCACAACGCAAACACTCCCTATTCATATCGATTACCAGGCACGTGATAAATCGGACGTCACCTTTATGGACTTGCATGATGCGTGCTTTGAAAGACAATCGATGCAAATTCAGTTTTGGGTCACTTTGCATATTCCCGCTCTTGAATGGACCGGATACAAGCCTAGCATTGTTGCATTACCTGCAAGAGGTGGATTTTCATGCCCTGTGGATTAGTATACAACATACATAGACAATCATGCATGGATGTGTAGTAGTAGTAGTCACATTATAAAAGCACTTTGTGATGATCCTGATCCTTTGTCTCTCTTTTCCTTTTTCCATTTTGATGCAAACATTATTACATTCCATGGCTCGAGAAAATTACTTCATTATGACCGACCCCAAACAATGGTCGCTTGAAGCTGCATGGGAAGCGGTCAAGAAGCGTGATAGCCAGCTTTCTGATAAAAAGATCATCCAAATCCTCGTTGACCAACTAGTCGAAGTAAGGAACAGAGCTGTCAATAAGGCCTATATTGATAAAGCGACTACATACCTTTCCATGTGGCAGGTAAGATAGGCTTTGATGACGCCCATCACCATTGCTCCTCACCCCATACATGCATACATGATAGGCCGCAAAGCAATGCATCTTGGATGAAGCTGCCCAAAATCCATCTCCTGTGATCCATCGCAACTATGGCCATTGGCGTATTTCCTCACGATCAAATGGTGTTGTCAACATCAACATGTACAGGTCGAAAGATGACTTGTAGCATCATGGCCTATCTCTTCCTCTTCCTCTCCTCACACAACCTACCGTTGTCATTTGCTTATAACATAATCCATTAGCATAGTACCATTGCTAGCACTTCTCTTGTACATCTTTTGATTGAATCAGTAATCTTGTGATATTTGATTGACAACGTTTTGCGTGTGAAAATCAGTTTTCGAGCACTTGCAACCCACATGAATTGATATCATTGCATTGCCAGTGATGGTTGCATTATACTAGTAAATGGATGATGCAGACATGTGAACGTACAAGGATGTGATCTAGGCATTTTATATATAGAAAAGTAGGAGTAGTATACTATTTACAGATAGTCGATTTTTAAAGGATTGTATACAGCAAAAGCTTGAGAGGGAGTGAATAGGATGGAGGAATGGGTGGTGAGTTTTTTACTGGTGGTCTTCATTGAATTTCGAGATGAGGTCCTTGACGGCATCAATAGAACCAAAGACACAACCGACAACACCAAGAAGAAGAGTGAGTGCCACAAAGGCAAGCTCATAGATGGGACGCTTGCGGATACCAAAGAGACGCAAATGGCAAAGCACAGGGATAAGGAAGACGAGACCACAGTTGCACAATGCACCGATCAAGCTCATGAAAGCATCAAAGTAAGGGATGAAAATAGCGAGGATACAGAGAATGACGATAGTGACGGAACGTACAGCAGCACGACCCAAGAATGCAAAGATCTTGCCGATACGTGTTTCATCAATACGGCAAAAGCGTTCAAACTCCAAGGCAAAGGAACATGCGTAAATGGGGATGGCGAAAATCACGTGAATGGTCATGACGATCATTGACAACAACTTGCCAGCACCTTCAGGAAGCGAATCGTACACAGGAGACTTTACAGCACTGCCAAAGCTCCAGTAACCAGGAACAGCTGTCAAGATGTAGAGAGCGGTACAAGTAGTAAGACCAGCAGTGACAGCCCATCTCCATTGCTTGGGCTTTTTAAGAGCATGTTCAGCGTGAGGATAGGTGTTGTTACCGCCAAAGGAGAAAGCAATTGTTGAAAGAGCGGATGGAAAACCGGTCCAGATCACGCCATCGTGCGTCACCTCAATCTCAGGATGGGCATTGTGATACATAGGGCCTTGAATCACCACAACAAAGACAGCCATCATTGTGCAAATGGCGCCAATAGCTGCAATGACGGTGATTTCCTTGAGCGTGCGGAACAAAATCAAGGGGATCAAAAGAAAACAACCCCAAATAATGACCCAAATTGGTTGCGTCAAGGCACCCGTCTATGGAAAAAAAGAAAAAGATGTCAGCAAACATGAAACCACCGCCATCATCATGATTTGCACTTACAGTGCCAGCCAACATCTGATGCATGTTTTCCGATGCAAGAACAAGGTATAAAGCAGGGCATCCAAAAAGATTAAGGAAATGAAGGAGAGCAGTGATGCCATAGCCAACCCAACCTAATAACATGTTCTTTGTGTAAGAGGATCATGATGATGATGATGATAAACCTGCTAATAACAAGATGTATACGTACCATAGGCAGCTTTTCCGATTTGCTTAAAGTCATGTAAACGTTCACCAGGCTTGTGGTACAAGCATTCGATAAGAACGATACCACTGTAAACGGACATGGCCCATGCAAGGAACAAAATCAGGATACCAAGCCAACCACCAGTGGCAAATGCTTTTGGTAAACCAAGAGTACCGGTACCAGCGACAACACAAACGACATTGAAATAGGCAGTAGACCAGCTACCGTTGCCATGACCAAATTCGTTTTGGTGTTGGGATGCATTATCATCCTCCTTAAAGACGTATTCCTCCACGGATTGGGTAACGTGCTCAGCTTTTTCGTCCTTGATATCTTGCATCATGGGGCGGTGGTGGTGGTGGATGGAAAGAGAAGGTGATAGAGAAGCAAAGATAAAAAAAAAGCTTGATTGAAAGCGACAAAAAATCTGGTTTCTTTTATATCTTGAGATTCTTCGTAATGAAGAGAGGGTCCATTCAACCACTCGTAAGCAAGCACCATTTTTGGGTGACACATTGTCGGGGTTACTCGATGCCTATACCAAATACCGCTAACAAACGTTGTTTCTTGCGCGCCTGACCACTCTCTCTCACTACCAAAAATGATTTCGGTCGCCGCAGGTCTATTATCAATAGAAGGTTCATCCCACACACTGGTAACGGCATATACCAAGAAGATGATAGAGAAGCGTATTTTGCAAAACCATCATTGCATCGACATCAACAACGTGGTATCACTATTAACCGTATTGGGCATGATCGTTCTCACGATTTTTCGCACGGCAGTTATCTCACATTTACCCAACTTGGGCATTTTACCGGATCGGATGGGTTTTTAACTGATGCCACATAATACACCATACAACGCAGCCTCATCTCGCGTGTGACACAAAACTTGATAAGAGACTGGAGATTGTTTTACGATGAAACGCACCCATTCCCGATTGCCAATATCGTATATCCTGAACCAAGCTCCGCTTCTATTTCCCCCACTTATCTTGTCCTTCCATTCTCTTGACCATCATGTAGGTTTTCATGTTGCCTTCCTCTTATAGATGTCATTGTTGGGTTTTTGTGCGGGGTAAAGGAATACAAATATATATGTCTATGTCTATGTTGACCTGTCATCTGTCATAAAAAGTTATCTACATATAAAGAGAAAAACAGTGGCGAGATCTTGTGCAACTTTTTATCTTATCGTATCCTGCGTGTGATTCGTTTCTTTTTTCTTCCTTTCCTAATTGAGCCTATCTATGGGAAACGTTGGAAGCAACAGGGCAAATGCTCATCAAGCCAACCAATCAATAGCAGTGGATCACCATGGTGAAAGTTTCAACTTGTAGCAGCAGCAGCAAAACCGAAACCAAGATCATCATCTTCCTCCTCCTCTTTGCACCTCTTAGAATGCTGAAACATGGAGATTGGCAGGGGCAATTCACCATAAAAGGGTGAGATGATGACGATGCCAAGCGTACTACTCCATGGGTATGTATGTGTATCATGTCTTATAGCGTCATCGTCACCATCATCTTGATGCTGTTGTACCAGGATGCTGACGTGATACTAGAGTGTAGAAAACTTTTTGTGTGCGGGACCCTGTAGAGGTGTCTCAATCATGTTTTCGTTTTTTTCCCATGCACCGAACTACGCACGCGTAATTCTCCAGCTTCTTGAGTTTCGTAAGCCAATTGTGGTTCGGAGCAGAGCGAGATGCAATATGCTCACGGTTATACTGCTCCCCCCGTGTTATCATACTTCCAATGCTATTCTCACGCCAGGTACACACAAAGAGAAACGTGCGCACTTTTTGTGCCTATGCAGTGATCCGGTATCCTGGAACCTTATATCAAGTAACACACACTCACACACAGCCGATATCATTGTCATGGATACGCTAGGGAACCATCATCCCCAAGAAAAAACTTAGCCTCATGCCCATTGTCTTGGTACATAGCCATCACTATTTCGGTTGCAAATGGATCAGATGACCCAATGTCTCTAAATCACATTTCCTTTTCGGAAAAAAAGCATCTTGGATCAACACGCTAAATACACATTGCCGGTTGCTGCACACCATCTTTTTCCGTGAGCGCGATATTGAAGATAATTGACAAGGTACGTATCATAGCAACGATCACACGCATCCATGGCAACCTTCCCAAGTACCCAAAGACGTCTATAGCAACTGCTACCTAGCGCTAGCTCTCATATACACCATTTTGTTAGAAAGGTATTCCCCATCAATCCATCTTATTGTAACAAAGGATTCATCCATCAAGTATACTTGGGACGTAATGTACTTCTTTACTCGGTAGGAGGAAACATGCAGAGGGGGAAACAGTGAAGGATGTGGAGATGTGACAATGTGTGTGTCTTTGCGTATGATAATGTATGTGCGTGTGTTGGGCATTTATACGTTTCACCGTATGGTTGTTGTTGGCACCACCTCGTCCACCATGTTGTTGAAAGTGATGATGATGATTACTCTCATATTGTTGCTGCTGTTGTTGTCCCTGAATACCATCATGATCCATTCGCTTCGGTTGTGGTTGTTGTACCATGTTCTCTTCAAGTGCATTGGACATACCTATGTCACCTTTAAAGCCGTTGGTGGATTTATCACTTCGACTCGGTACTCCAAGATGCTTGACCACTTTACCAAATCGATCCATCATGACGACAATTCTCACGCCCACTCACATATAGAAAAGGCTGTTGTCACCAATACTATCACACGCCCTTTCTTTCTATATATTTGTATTCATACCATCATCAATGACCTTTGGTAAGTCTCAAGGATGGCCCTTATGTGATGCCCAAAATGAGGGTACTCATGCATTCATCTATGTAGCTCACTTGATTGCTTTACCATCACTTGGTGTGCTCATTGCTGCCTAATGACATTTGGCTGTGCTGCATGATGGATCCTTTGTGGTAAGTGTATAGCACCGTTTGTATATTAAAAGGATGCCTAGTCTGATAGGTATTTGGGGCTCCTTTGTAGGTGTCATAAATACATGCCTCCCCGTTACCACGAATGAGGGAACACCATTTGCAGAGCGTCATCCCTCTTTTCAAGCACCTTTCAGCTGTTCATGCATTTATACAAGAGGAGTCAGCCCTCTTTAATTTCCACTTCTTCCACTCTCAGCTCTTCCCTCTTCCTCCTATTCCCAATTGTTGCCCCATTCAAGTATACAACTACCACCTGCGAACGATTGTCCTGCTTCAACCCATCATGTCAATCCTACAACTCTCTTGATCCGATTGTCTTTGACAGAATGACACGTCCATGGCGTGTACACTGTCTTCATGTCACTCTATTGCAACAGCCGAGTCTATTGACACAACACACGCTCTTGCACACTCATCTGCCACGATCAATCGTAACAGCATTCATTCCAGCAGTTGCTATTAGCAAGGACTTGACTCCATTGTCTCAAACAGCGTTCACAACCTTGTCACTCTATTACAACACGTGCTCCAGTACTCTACACGACCAAACGTAACAGCAGTTGCTATGAGCAAGGTCACCATTCTCTCAAGTTACTTGGAGCATCCTGCCTTATAGCCCTTTTGCGTGGACAGCAGATAGCCAATTGTATACAAGCAGCTTTATTTACGTGTAGCAACTTGCTTCAATACAAACGAGTTTCTATGGATGATGCCACATCACATCAACTACACTTCACAATACAAGCATTCTTCACTTGATTGAGCTGCGATAGAGAATGACCAGAAAGAGCTAGACCAACAACCGGATGATGACAAAGGAAGCATATCAGCAGCGACCACATGGTTCTTTTCAACCAACGTATTGAATTTGCAATGGTTATGGATGGATGGATGCAATCGAGCACTGTGATAGGTGATCCGGAAATGTCGCCTTGGTTACTTGGTATGTCGTCAGCAAGAACGATGCATCATGTCATGTGTATACGGCTGAGGATGGTGATGGAGTGGATTGGATGGCATGGATAAGAGAGCTTATACCTTTAACGAGAGGTGGTTTGCCGCTATGGATGATACTGGAATGTTGGTCTCAAGGCACGCACAGTAACTAGTTTGCAAGCATGGATGAGGAAGGCTATGATGGCAACAACCAAGGATGCAATGACACAATGGTGCCCACTGATTTTATGTGATCTACTGGTTGGCTTCTGGAATGAAAAGGAGGATAGAAATTCGAAGGCTGGAAGGCGAGATTGGATTACCTACATCATTGTATCGAGATGCTTTTGTTCCTTTTGTCATATTACAGTCATTAAAGCTTCCTTGTTCATATGCTGATAGACGATAGGCAGGATTGTACACAGGTTTAAATAGACGCTTGTATTCTCAACGATAATAATGAACCCGTAGTATGGTACCCAACAATAGTGCTTAAATCATTACGTTGAACAGTGAACTTTGATACAATGTGGCACAAGTACATAAGCATACAGTGTTGCTGGTTGCTGCTGCTGTCTTTTTCAGTGAGTGCGTTATTGAAGATAATTGACAAAGGTATGTATCATAGCAACGAGCACACCCGATTCATGCCGACATCCCCAAGCACAAAAGGCGTCTATAGCAGTTGCTATCTAGCGCTAGCTCTCATATACACCCATTTAAAGACATCCCTCATCAATCCATCTTATTGTAACGCATCCATCATAATGTATACTTGGGACGTAATGTACTTCTTTACTCGGTGGAAAAAAAAAAGAATACAAGTAAGATGGCTGGATACCACCTTGCCAGCAAAAACGAAAAAAACCACAGGGAAAAAGAAATACAACGTATCCTACAAATGACATCAAAGCTTGTCGTATGTGTCATTTTCGGTCATTCATCATCGTCAGACGTCGCGTTCACCAGAAAAGAGAGAGATAGAAGATAGTGAAACGAGGAAACATTGGATAGAGGGGAGGGGAAGGGGGAAAACAGAAAAAAGGGTAGAAGAAAGCATAGGCAAGAGAAGTGAAAAGAAAGGGAGATGAAAAGAGGGACGCGAGAGAGCGAGAATAGAGAGAGAAAGAGTATATTTACATGTGGAATTGGGAAAAAGAAGAAAGGAATGAAAGGAGGAAATATGCAGGATGTGGAGAGATGTGACAATGTGTGTGTTGTGTCTTTGTGTATGATCATGGATGTATATGTGTGTGCGTGTGTTGTGTGTTGTGTGTGTGTTGGGCATTTATACAAGCGGCTTTGGTACACGTCTCACCCTATGGTTGTTGTTGGCACCTCCTCCTCCTCCTCCTCTGCCTCGGTTGGACCAAGAACCTCTGCCTCGATGAGCCCAATAACCTCCTCTGCCTCGATTACCCCAACCTCCTCGTCCACCGTGTTGTTGAAAGTGATGGTGATGATTGTTCTCATGTTGTTGTTGTTGTTGTTGTTCCTGAATACCATCCTGATCCATTCGCTTTGGTTGTGGTTGTTGTACCATGTTCTCTTCAAGTGCATTAGGAGCAACATACAAGCTCTTGTCGATTTGAGCTGGGATAGGTGTGATTTCAGTGCCGAGCTCACGTTCAATCTTGTAAAGGTTGAAGCGATCTTCGTAGGTGATCAAGTTGATAGCGAGACCAAGGTGACCATAACGACCCGAACGACCAATACGATGCAAGTAGGTTTCAGCATTCTTGGGGAAATCAAAGTTGATGACAACATTGACAGCCTGGATATCGATACCACGTGTCAGCAAATCTAAAAGAAAAAACCAAGCATCGTGAGTATAGATGGATAAAATAAAACACCTCTCCCATCCTTTTCATCCATTTACCTGAGCACACAAGGTTGCGGCAAACACCATTACGGAAATCATGGAAGACACGGTTACGATGGCTTTGGAGCATTCTGGCGTGTGAATAAAAGCAGGAATAGCCCAGCTCCGTGATTTTCTTGGCCAGCAATTCAACACGGCTGGTCGAGTTACAAAAGATGATGGATTGGTTGATTTGCAGCTACGTATCACATACTTGTTAATATACTTGACACCTATATATATCCTCCCATGCATTACCTTGGAGAAGAGTGTGTTGAGACAGTGGACTTTTTGTTTTTCTTCAACGTAGGCGTAGAATTGGGTGACACCTTTGAGCGTGAGGTCTTCCATGAGGTTGATTTCATATGGCTTGACAAGGTACTTTTCTTTGAAGGATTTGACGACCATTGGGAACGTGGCACTGAAGAGCATGATTTGGCGTTCCTTTGGGAAATAAGCGAGAAGACGTTCAATGACGGGTGTGAATTCGGGTGAAAGGAGCTTGTCGGCTTCATCCATGACAAATGTTGATGCTTCACTGAAATCGGCGACGTTCTTTGATGCCAAGTCCAATATACGGCCGGGCGTGCCAACGACAATGTGCACAGGCTCACTCAATCGCATAATATCATCCTTGAGGGTTGTACCACCAGTCGTCACCATCACATGGACACCCAAATGTTTTCCCAACTTTTTGCACACTTGCGATGTCTGTAGCGCCAATTCACGTGTAGGAACCAATATCAGTGCTTGAATCTGGGATTTCTTGGTGTTGACTTTTTCAAGTGTGGGAATGACGAAGGCGGCTGTTTTGCCTGTGCCGTTCTTTGCTCTGGCAAGAATATCACGACCCGTCAATGCGATTGGAATCGACTCTTCTTGAATCGGTGATGGACGCTCAAAACCAGCCTCAAAGATGCCCATTAACAATTCACGCTTGAGGAAATAGTCTTCAAACTCGTTGCCTTTGGTTTTGGTAACATCCTAAATGATACATGTATACTTGCTTTAATCCCACCACATGTTGTACAACAACAGCAACAACCCTTCTCCTCCTACTATCCTCCTTTACACACGTGTTCCTTACCTCAGTCTGTGGTCGATTATCCCGAGTTGGAAGCTGCAGACTCTTTTTCCACTCATCTTCGTCATGGCTAAGAAAACTCGTTCTTTAATATCCAATAAAGTAGCTTCCAGTGCCGCATTACCTCATGGTATGGATGGACGTTTGTGCAGACATTGAGTATGTTGTATAATAGGATGGTGTGGTAATAGTAAAAAGATCGTAGAGGTCTAAAATGGGACAAGGATGCTGTGTGTGTTGTGTGTTGTGTGTGGTTTTCTGTAAACGTAGGTGTTGGTGAAGAACGAGACTAGGTCAAAGTAGGCCGTTTGGTATGTTGTGTCGAGATTCGTTTTAAGAGGGTAGGGAGGCAAAAAAGAGAAAGAGGAAAGTGAAAGAGATGGGGAACGACCAGATGCACATTACAAACAGTCCCACCTTGCTGCAGCACTACAAAACAGTCCTACCTCGCCCAATCACTTGGTTGCTATCGAAAATGCATACCTCTTCCTCCTTCTCATGCACAATGTAAAATGCATCCATGCATTGGTTTTTGACTGATAGCAGATGTTTATTGTCTTTAAGCGTTTTCCATTAATGGCATCTTTGTCAGCTGTAGACAAAGTTCATGTCATCCACCCATCCTTTCGTGCTGCTAATACATCGAATTCACTACTATGGGTATGAGGGTTGTCTTTACTTTCTCTCGCAATAGCTTTTATGTTGCTATGGAAACGAAAGGATAAAAGATGGGTGGAATAAAAGACCCGGAGGAAATTGATCTGATTACTACTCTTGTATTATGAATGCATTGGTAATGATGAATAAATGAATGAGCGAAGGTTGTGAGCGATTAAGGGAGAATTCGATGATGCTGAGTCAGACAACAGCTAATGCTGACCAATTGTACATTTGATTTTGACACCTTCCTTCTCTCTTTTTGTTTCCCCCAACTTTAAAGACCACGCTTGTTGATATCTTCATCCAACACACACACACACCCACATACAACAAAAGAACAGCATGTCTACCGTTTTCACCCTCTTTGGCATGAACGTTGTACACGACAACGCCAAGTCGTTACCACCCCGTTCACAACCAAGAACCTATTCCGAATACGTGGACTTTCTCAAACAACAACTCCATTCCCCCAGTGCCATCACGCCCGAATTGCCACGACAACCCGATTCGACCGTTCGTATTCAATGTCAAGTGCGCGCACGTATTCCCACCAATGAAGGAGGTGAAATGTACTTGTATTTGTACAAGAACAACCAAGATTCCAAAGAGCATCTAGCTATTGTGTATGGTGACGATATCCGATCGCGATCGCTGGACGAGACGTGGAAGAATGAGACCATCATGAATCGCATTGTACGTGGTGCTTACTATGGCCGTTTGGAGGAGGTGGTGACCGACCAGTGTAGAAACCTAAATTTGACCGAGGATCAAGAACGCTACTTGCTTGAACAACAGGCCAAAGCCAAAGCTGCCTATCAACGATCATCGGATCCACCGCTTGTACGCATCCATTCCGAATGCTTTACAGGAGAAACGGTTCATTCAGCACGATGTGATTGTGGTGAACAATTGGATGAAGCTATGCGATTGATGCAAGAAGCTGGACGTGGTGTTGTTGTCTATTTACGACAAGAAGGTCGAGGTATTGGATTACTTGAAAAGTTAAAGTAAGTGTGTATACATACATACATACGTTATGAGGGAGCTCTTTATTTATTCATTTCTGGGTATGAATCTATAGGGCCTACAATTTGCAGGATCTTGGACATGATACCGTTGCAGCCAATGTCCTTCTTAATCATCCACCCGATGCGCGGACCTACGGCATTGCCAATGCCATTCTCAAGGACCTTGATCTCACTCATGTCAATCTCTTGACTAACAACCCCGATAAGATTGAGCAATTGGAAGCTTATGGATCTATCAAGGTATCCGAACGACGACCCATGATTCCTCGATCCTGGTCATCCACTCCCATCTCTCATGCCGATCTGCTACGCACACCATCATCCTCGCCCGCATTAAACGCCGCCAGTCCCTTGGGAGGAAAGGAATTAGACAAGTATCTTGCTGTCAAGGTCAAAAAGATGCGACATTTATTAGATTTGCCAGAAGGCATGTAGCTTATATTACCAACTATTACTAGTACACCTGCACACATTCAATTCCCCCCCTCCACCATCCTATCTTTTTGTTTTTGTTGTTGTTGTTGCTCAATAGATCTTCTCTTGTCGCTTTCTATGTGTTGTTGTCGATGTTTCTTATCCACCGCTTACAGGTGGGATGATGCCGATCTCATCACCAGGTTTCAAGATCACATGTCGTGTATTGTCCTTATCGATAGCTTCCATATTGACAGCAAACATGCATTGTTCGAACAACTTGGCTAGCTCGTCACCGTACTTTTGAACCAACTGGGTTAAAAGCGCTTCCAAAGTCCATGCTGATTGGGGTGGAATGGCAATCTCCTCGTTCTTGATGTGGGTAATGTCGTGAGCCCCGGCAAAATACAAAACTTGAACTGACATAAGGGGCGGGGGTGGCGATATTCGGGTTGCTTGATGTATGTATGTACAAGAATGAAAAGCCGGTGCAAAAGCAAGGTTGGGAATTCGCGTGATTGAAATGCAACAAACAATAATCCAATCACAAAGGGGCAACAAACTTTGATATACTTACTTACGCACATACAAGGTAGGACAACCATATACATCTCTTTTTCTCTTAAGATTTGCACCACATCTTGGTATCATGACCAGTTCAGGCAAGTATTTGTAATGGCTACCTGTCATAGAAGCATCCAGGAGAATCTTTGTAACGGGGATAGGCCCGGTTGTCGCCCTTTAAAAGACGAGCCTATAAAAGAGCGAGCACACCATTCGTTACTATTTCCACTATTGTCTCCTTTTTTCATACACTATGGCTGTAAGCGTTGCTACTACGACTACTACTACCTTCATTTCCCCAATGCCACGTCTAACGTTGAGATCGCAATTGCCCATTGGATAGGAATACAAGTTCAATGTCGAAATGGCCTGCTCTGGTTGCTCCAACGCTGTCAAGCGCGCCTTGGGCAAGCTCGAAGGTATGAAAAAAGAAAACGCCAACCGATAGCTGCCATGGCTACCAGATATTGACATGTACTTTAGGTGTCAACAAGATTGATATCGATTTAGAAAAGCAAGAAGTGGTCGTTGATACTGAACTTGCTCGTGATGCTGTCCTCGAAGCTATCAAGAAGACTGGCAAGAAGGTTAACGAGTAGAGAGAGAGAAAACATACAACACCCATACTACTACTACGACAACTATATCCCCTATCATCATGAACAACAACAATAAAATGACAATGACTGATAAGACTCTTTATGTAATGACTAAACTAATCCAACAACAAGGTTTTATGATGAGCTTCGTTTTCCATCCCAAAAGATAGTGATTTCGCCATCTCCAGGACCTGATAAAATGCTATCTGTAGGATTGTTTTCTGATGTCGTGGTATGATGACGATCATGGAATGGATCATCCAATTCATCTTCTTTGGTAAGGATAGTGCGAGTGGATCCTTGGCGAGTAAGGCCATCCTGTACACGAACGGTATTGACACGCATGATCTGAGGCCGTGCACGCATGACCTGGTATGTTGCTGTTGTTGGCTGCACAACCGATTCGCGATCCTCATCTTCGTCGTCGTCATCGGCCATGTGATTTGTATCAGAGAAAGGATTGTCATTGGATGTGGATAATCGTTGTTGTGGTAGTTGTTGATGGATCTGTTGCTGTTGTTGTTTGAATCTATACAACGTAGAAGATCGTACAGTATGGTCGTATTGCTGTTGTTGTTGCTCAATGCTGCGCATATCCTGTGAAATAGGCCTTGGTTGTTGATCCTGTGTACGAACGCTATCTCGTGAAGGGGGCACATAGGCAATAGGTATGACACCGGACATCACTTCTTGTCGTAAGGGTGGAGGACTTGAAGGGGTAGTAGTAGCAATCTATCATATACATCTTGTTATAGAGAGGCCATCGCATGCTACATGTTACTTTTTCATTTACCTGCTGCATATCGCGAATGCTGCTGTTATCCGTTTGCAGGTTGTTGTGAGGTATGGATTTTCCGTGAAAGGCAAAAGGTAACGTGTTGCGTTTCTTTTGTCTGTATCGAAAACCGGCATAGCCTGCAGCAGAGACAACCAAACCAGCGCCGAGTAATCCACCCACCACACCGCCAATCAATGTTCCTTGATCATTGTTGTTGCCATGGCTACTGTTGCTGTTACTACCATTACCACCGGAAGAGGAATCGGATCCCGAGGAGGATGATGAGCCATCACCACCACTACTTCCTCCACCTCCACCGAGAAGTGATCTTGAAACACATGATGATCGAGGACAAACACCACATTCACTCATGGTACCAAGGACACATACTTGATCTGAAGAGCAGGATGGGTTGCACTTGGCGACACAATTGGAGGGTGTACAGTTGGGCGAGGTATTCGTGGCACTATTTGCTGATATGAAATTTAATTTGGGATCTCGTGTGTGTGTATGCATAATCATCATCTCTTTTGTCCCTTTCTCGGAACCTTGTATTACTCGTTTCTACTGCCAGGACAGCCGTAGCAAAGGCAAAGACCAGCCATGCCATGCTAAAATACTTGAAGAAAATAAACCGTTGCGATGCAGTGTGGTGCCCCATTTCGTTCAATGCAAAAGAAAAAAAGGAAGGGAATGTGGTAACTGGGCTCTTGAATCGACAATAAATGTCGAAAGAGAATGAGCGATACAAGTTGCGTATGTGGGTTTGAGGAAGGAAAGGGGGAAAGAGAGAGAGCGAGAGGAGAGTAGAAACGAATGAACTTGTGCAAAAAAAGAAAATCTATATAATGAATGGTAGCACAGTAGTAGCTGATTTAGCTTTTTATCTCATTTCCCTTTCTAATACTCAGCAGCAGCTACTACTGCTGTCAGGTCCAAGTTGTTAGTGTCTCTCTCTTAACGTGATCACCACCTTGCTATGTATCATGTCATCATCATTCTACATTTTCCTTGATTGATGCCTTGGAGTCAACAACATTGTGTCTTCCATCACCGAAATGAATCGCACGGCGCACGCGTGTTACCCAGCACAATGCAATCTCTCTTTGTGTTTTTTGTGCAACCGCTTTACACAGAGCTGTATCTTGATGATAGGACCCCCTCCTCCTGCTTCAATCGAAAGGACATTAAGCCAAATGTAATAACTCTCTTTTCCAATGCATTCTTTGCAACAAGCCATTCCGGATTTTGGTAACTTTCAAGGTTGCAAACAACCCATATTCCACATTTGCTGTAATATCTGATCGCCAGTGGAGGTAATGACGCACGTGCTCCCAAAGCATAACACTTTGATCTTGCATACATACGCAATCGAATGACATCCAATTTCATTGTTTACATGACCCATTTTACCTCCCCGATCTTGTATGCATTCATCATCATGTACCTCATTTGCTTATGCATATATACATTTACTTGCCACCTTTAGTCTTCCCCCTCAAACCTATATATAAAATTACGTGATGAGTGTAAATGAGAATGCTAACGTCAGGTTTATTACATGTCATGTCATATTTCGGATCACCACCTCCGCTGGTACAAACATGTTACCTTTGATGCTGCTATGTACCACCAATTATCCCGACTTTTGCTTCTTCTTTTAATGGAACACACTATTGGCTGTTTTTATCGCATGTCTTCTCAACCAAGCCCTTGGATAGGTTAATCAACCTCTAAGCGTAGAATACTAACATCGAGATGGCCAATGATAAAGCTTCTGCATTTCTCATCCTTAACGTAGTATATGCTAAAGTAGGCTCTTCTCTACTATGGTGTCGATCTTTCCACAAGTATTATAACATAGTTGATTTTGGTCGTCATTGTTTGCCTGCAAAAGCAGAGTTACGCATTTGCCAACAATGCCATCTTCATCACAACACTTTGCTTTGTATCATCTTTTTGGAGCTTGAAGGAAGCGTTATCATCCATGTTTAGCTCATGTAGATTTGAATGCTTATTGTCGAGGCTTAATAGATCACTTCACAGTTGTTCATGCAGGTGGCTGTGTAACCATGATGTCATTGTACTTGTAATAGCGAGGTTCATGGTGCTGCTCTTTGTCTAATTACTAAAGAATATAGCTTAATACAACCAGGAATCAACGCTGTAGGTAATTAATGCAAGCGCTCCTCTCTCACGATAAACATAATGATGACTCGATGTTGTCACATGATCATCGCCTTATGTTCAATCCACTTCTTGCAGCGGATGGCTACGTAAATGCACGTATCACCTTAAATAGTATATATTGGGGTACGCAGATCATTTGTCACTACCTCTTGCTTCGTTGGAAATGGATAAGCCCGGCAATGGATTGCTGAGCTTTGTCATGTCAGCGGCTTGGATCATGTCAATTTTCTTTTATCCATTGTAGTTGCATGATAGTAGTATAAAGAGGTATAACATCAATGAACATTGTATTGATAAAGAATGCTTTTCCATATGTGCAAAGCACAACTAATAAACTAGGTTCATTTATTTCATAAGAGGAAACAAAAAGAACGATGGATACAGTTGCAAACTTTTTCGTCTCCTCTCATTGGCCAGGGCTACTCACAACTCCAAGAGGGTTAATCTATCCGCTCAGCACACTCACTTTTTTTTTCGAAGCTTTCTCAATTCGAGCCCCATTCGAACATTGGACGACGTTATCCATCTTTGACAACGTTTATAAAAGTTGAATAGCAACCAGCATACACGCGTAAACACACCGAGAAGGAATGGAACAGGACAATCAATCGATCCACTCCCAGGAACACCAGCAGCCACCCGCATTGGAATCGTCAAAGGATTCTTCTTCTGGTTCACCATCACAACAACAGCAATCTGTTGAGGCTAGTCAGCAAGTAGCCACGAGTACTTCAGGAGAAGAAACGACCATGCAACAAACGGCAACCACGCCAGCGACAACGAGTGCACCGCAACCAACAACAACAGCAACCACCCAAGAGCTCAACATGACTGCTGCCCAACTCCAACAAGTAACAGCAGCTCAAGCACAAGCTATCGCTCAAGCAGCCGCTGCTGCCATGGCAGCCACCAATAGCAGTAGTTTGTTTGCGACATCAGCAGCACCCTCCATGCCCAATAACGTTGCTGTAATGAATGATGGATTATCCTCAGTTTCGCATTTGACAGCAGAGATGCTTAAACGAGAACTTATCAATCAAAAGGTATTCATTGGCATAGGACATTTATTGAACAAGATACTAAACGTGGGGTGAATGATAGGTACGCGCTGACAATCGCGAACGTAAAAAGAGATGGCGGGCATTAAATGAAGAACGCAGTAAGTATCCAAGTTGGTAGTAGGGAGGATGATGGTTGGTACTCATTTGATATGATACATTAGACAAGGATAATGATCTAAGATGTCGAGTGAACAAACGAGCGCACAAGTTGTATGGCAAAGAAGACACTGAAGCGAAACGACAATGGGTGGAAGAGGAATTTGCCAAGAGGAAACAAAAGCGAAAGGAGAAAGAGCGACGTAAGAATGTGATGGATGGTGCTGTTGGATCTACCGCGTCCTCATCCATGGATTATGAACCAACATCAGCAGCAGCATCTCAACAAGCTTCTCCTCAAGCAGCAGTAGTACAACCACCTCAACTTCATGACAAACAACAACAACCACCACCACAACAGCCATCACAACCAGGTCAACCTGATATTGCCAATATAGCATTGCTATGCCAACAACTTGGTATTCTTCCACAATCTTTTACGGGTGATCTTACCAGTAACACCACGACAACAACATCTTCATCAACGTCTCCACCTTCTTCATCATCAGCAGCAGTGCCATTTGGTGCTGCTCGGTTATTGGGTGTCACTGCAAGACCAGAACATGAACAACAACAACAACAACAAACGACAACCGAGGGTGATCATCAGCAATCATCCATATCATTGATTGAATTCCTTCAACAATTCCAACAACAAGCGAGTACTACTTCATCACCATTACCCACATCATCATCTTCTTCCACCACCGAAGTAAAAGAAGAAAGACCTGAAGATAGGCTGGCAGCATTATTAAGTAGCACCATTGGTTCATCAGCAGCGGCAGCAGCGGCATCAGCCTTGGCATCGACTACTGCATCCACCTCATCCTCATCCTCTTCTTCTAATCATACCGCCACCAACGCCCTTGCAACACCCTCCTCCACTACTACCACAACAACAACAACAACTCCTGCTACTACTACCACTACCAACAACAACAACGACTCCTCCTCACCCATCAAACAAGAACCACAAGATGATGAGGATCCTAATATCAAGCAAGAAAAGCAAGAATCAGGGGATCACGAAGATCAACAACAACAACAACAACGGCCACAAGGAAGCGGTGATTTCCCCATGGAAGCTGTATTAACGTTGATGCAATTGAATGCTGGTTGGCGACAGTAATAATACGTAGAATTTATAAGCTAATAGGTAGAGAGAGAAAAAAAGATGATACCAGGATAACAAGAGGAAAAAAAAGAGAATCTTTATGTACATGTTTTTGTTTTCAACTAGATTGTAAAAGTCGGGAGATGTGATGGATGCTGTGTGAGTGTGAAGTGTGAAATGATGTGGGGGGTGGGGGTTGTTCTAATCAGGAGATGAAGGACGTGTCAAGAGCTCTAGAGTAATATCTTCAATGCTTCTATGGATGAAATCTTGTAGGGATTGATCTTCATGATCCATGATAGCAGGTCCAAACAATCGATACAGATGCTCCTTGACCTGGGCACGTGTGATTGAATCTAAATCAGCATCTTTTAGGTATAACCGGATTTCTTGTAGAATCGATTCTCGTAAATCGGTAGCATTGTTATTGGGTTGTTGGGGTCGTGAATAGAAAGTGGACGAGGTGGTTGTTCGTGCACTGACACTGCTATCGCTCACATTACGATGATGATGTTGTTGATGTTGTCGATGTTGATGGTTCAAAGGGAGCGGTGTGGATGGTTTACGTAATCGAGCAGCAGCACGTATACGTGCAGGTAATAAAGAGGCGCCGGGTCCACTGGATGTTGTTGTTGTTGTTGCAGCAGCTGGAGGTGGCAATCCTGCCGTAGCCATATGTCCTGGTATACGAAGTCCCACACGACCATGCAATGCAGCACTACGGCCTTCTTCATTCACCATGCTATTACTGTTCCTGTTGTTGATGCTTGTTGGTGTCTGATAAAAGGGATCATAGCGGCTGTTTTCAAGTGATAGCTCTGGATCCATGCTAAGGTTGGAGCTGGCAATGGATAAACTATTGGACGCTGTGGAATGAATCGAACATTGATCAGAGGCAAGCACAGAATCAGTTGAATGAGCTCGTATATGATGATGCCCCTCCATATAACGACGTGCTGATGATGAGGAAGAGGATGACACAGTTGCATAGCCATTCACCAATGGAGTAGCAGCACGAGGTGGTTGTAAAGGAGGCGTGTAAAGGTGACGAAGCTCTTCTGCTGTAGCAGCAGTAGTAATAGGAGGCGTGTTGGTGCGTGAGGATGCATGGCTGAAATACGAGGATTGCGATTGACTTTGCTTATGATGATGTCGATGATGTTTGCGATTGTAGATGGTCTCGTCAGCAGCAGGAGTCCCCAATTGATCATGTGACTTGACAGCATACTCATCATGGAATGGATTATCCAAGGCTGATGCAAATGGATTGGCCATAGATCCTGCACGTACACTAGCAGTGGGTGAAGACGATGCTGTATTGTATCCATCATTGGCTTGACTCAATCGGTTAAAGCGTGTTGTTGCTCCTGTGGGTGGCAATGGATCGCTAAAAGGATCAAGCGAACGACGTGATGGAAGTGATCGAATGCTGTTGCTACGTCCTTCTTCCACAAATCCAGTAAATCCTCGAAACTTGGAATCCAATGCAGCCGCTTCTTCCATTGCACGTTGATAGGCACGTTCAGCTTCAATCGCTTCATATTCACCCAAACGCATACGTGGTACCACCATCATGGCTTGTTGCTGTTGCTGCTCGTGATCTTGTTGTTTTGGCTCATAGGTTGCATTATCATCTTCATCGTCTTTCTCTGTGGATTCGTCGTCTTTGTGATGATGTCGATCAATGATGCCGTGCGCACGACCTCTGTAACGACTACGTGATGCCGTGGGCCATACATCAAACCAGCGATCGGCATAATCAGAGCTCCAAAGGGCGACAATGGGAAACCACACCGCAAACAATGGCACCGAAAAGAGACAATAGATAATGAACCAAAGGACATACTTGAATTGCCGACGTACGATAAAGTAGATAATGTGCAGCGTGATCAAACAACAAAAGCAAAGTGCAATGATGGCATATGCAAGTCCAAAATCCATAAGATAGCGTACAAAGATGCTATACGAGTAGATAATGATTGGCACCGAGAAAAGCATATCGACCAACTTGGTCACCGATAAGATCCAACATGTGAAACCTAGGTCCCATGCCACGCGCTGTAACTCAAGATGGATATGCAAGGCTGATCTTAGGTTGCGAGACTGTAATGCTTGCAAGGACCATAGATGGGTGGGTAGGGTCACATAGCCAACAGCTTCAGGTTCAAATCCAAGTCGATGTTGTGGATGCGATTTGAGCAAGACCACACCCAAGTATTGTTCCTCACCCAACAGCAGAACATTTTGCATATGTAACGTATCAGCTCGTGCAGCAGCAAACCCTCGTAGTACAGTTGGATGGATGCAACATAGCCGAATCCCTGAATTGGGCGATAACGATAGTCGTGATTCTTGATCCAGACTTGCAACAGCATCGGCAGGAGAAGAAGAAGCTTGATCCCATGGTACTTGCTCGGGGTGAATTTCATCGCTGACTTTGGGCCATTTGGTCTCGTGTTGTTGTTGAATTGTTTGCTGTGATGATGCTGTACTTTTGCTACTCCTTGGCCAGCACCAATTCGACCACCATGAACGCTTTTGCTGACGCAAATGTTGTATATCATCACCAGGCATATGCTCCGTCCACAACTTATACATGACAAGGCCACCATTCACTGATAAAACGGTCCCAAGAAAAGCTTCATAAGCCAAGCCCGAATAAAATGTTTGATACAAGGGGAAAACTTGAAGCATGGTGATGATGTTTTGTTCTGGGTTGGCGGGTCGTGCATGTCCACTCACGGCAAGCATTCGACGATCAGCTTCAAGACGAGCCACAAGCCGTGGTACAGCATCAGGATGGACCTGCGTATCGGCATCCACCACAAGCATATACTTGAAGCGACGTGGATCAATACCAAGAACACTGTAGCATTGATTGAACAATTCATATTCAAGGGGTGCCATACGATGACTCGCCAAATTCGTGCACCGTTCCAAAAAGCTCATGACCAATACCATCGAATCTCGCTTGCCACGGTTCCCAACATTGCCATTCGTTTCGGTACGTTCCTCACCAGGAGCACCCGTTTTGACAACCACCAAGTATGGAACACGATTACGGCCTGTTTCATAAAAGCCTGCATAGACCTTGCCACAATTGGTACGTTTGCCATGTTGACCCAAGGATACATAGGGCTGTTCCTCTGCCGTGGTAGCTGTATTGCCGCTGTATCCAAGCAATTCCAAAAGACACACATGGGCTGGTTTGCTGTCATAGCGACTTTGTGCTTCCGATCCATCACATACAAAGAGCAGCAATTTGCGTTCATCATCATAATTGGATCGTGCCAAGGACTCGAATGTTTGCCGTAAAATCTCGCATGGTTCTGCAAAACAAGGCACCAACAAGATGGTAAATGGAGAAGATGATTTTGCTGCTGCTGCTGTTGCTGAGAGTTTTTCACCAAAGGAGGATGAAAACAAGAATCGTTGCATGAATCGTAATCGACACAAGTGGGCAAGGTTCATCTTTAGCAAAAAGTAGATTAAGCCAATACCCATCGTAGCCCATAATGCAGGGTTGATGCGCCTGCATCCTGTAGGAGCGTTATTCTGGACGACGCCCTTGAAGAACAAATCGTGCAAGCAATGGCCGTAAATGTTGGCATCCGTAATGTTGGCATAAAAGTCGTCTGTGATATCTGTGCCGAGGTTGATAAAGAGCATCATCGTCACGTCAAGTGGTAAAAACATGCGATCCAGTGCAAAGGCTCGAGAATAGATGCCTGATGACATTTCAATCACATTGGTTGCTGTATCCAGGTACGATGTCACATCCAATACATTGCCATCAAGGATTACAAACGCTTGTCCAAAGTCATCGGATGTGGGTAATGTCGTGAAATTGGCTACCATCATTGGATCATACACAATCTCTATATCATACATAAAGGATCAGTTTTGTTTTTCTCTAAAGGGGGACTACAGTTGATCGATTTACCTCCTTTTGTGGGTATCGTATGATCAGGCCATGGAAAACAAGGAGCGCCAGAAGTCAAGGTACGATTGGGCCATGGACATTGCATTTGTTTGACACCTTGTTGATTGACAAAGGAATAGCCTGGATCATTGGCGAGTTTGTGTGCGAGCCAAGCATCGGCTTGTGCGACTCTTCCAGGATCCACAATGCATCGATTCAACCAAGGATCCTTGTACGTCTTGTCGTCTCGGTCGAGTTGCATGAACCATGGGAACATGGGTGATACATCATAGCCCGAATATTGCCCGAGGGTGGTTGCCATGGATTTCCACGTTGGCGAGTCCTTGAACTTTTCAAATTCGAATGCGTTGCCATTGATATCCACATATTTGGACTCGTTCTTGTACACGTCGTCGTATTGCACGTAATCGTCATGGTTGCAGAACAATGTTGAAATGTACTCCATCCAGAATAAAAAGACACCCACTGCCGTAAGAAACAAAATCAACGTCGCAATCTTTTCTCGCCATGCTTGACGGGAAGCTACCAACACACACAATTGAGTAAGCCAATGTCAACAACGAGGGGAATGAGGGTCGTTGTGGGTGTCTATGGTTTACCTGCAGTGCGTAAACCGACAATGTATTTGAGGATAAAGTCGGGAAAGATCAAGGTACACAGCCGGGCAAAAAGAACCCAGAGAATGCGGTGGCAGGTAGGCGTGCCCATATAACTTGTCCTACCATGTATAGGAGGAAATGGAGGATTCAAGTGTGTAAAAGAGAGAAAGAAGGGAAGAAGAAAAATCAAAAGACGGGATGAGAAAGGGCAACGAATGGGAAAAAAGAAAAAGGATCTGGTATAGAGAGAGGGGGTTGTTATTGATACCTTGGATACAGACTTTGTTGCACATACACACTCCGCATGGTAAAAATACACACCCCATCATTGCCCGCTCACTCAACCGCCGCAATTGGTAACTGGTTGTTAATGAAGAAAAAGATATAAACTATATGTTGTTTATTATATAAGTGAAAAAAGTGCCAAGGAATGATGGAGATACAAGGCAACATGTGACAATTCCTGCTGCTGTCTAAAGCAGCAGTATGTGTGCGTGTAAGTGAGATATGATATGCAATGGGTGATAAGGGATAAAAAGTGTTGTGGTTGGGGATGAGTGTTAGGGGAAGTTGGGGGTG